CCAACCGTGATGGCCTGCGGGTGGATACATCCGCAATACGAAGTAGTTTGCGGATGGAAAAGTGGTGAATGCAAATCGAAAAGAGAACAAGGACCTCTTCTGGGCCCTCAAAGGGGGTAACAACAACTTTGGCGTGGTCACCCATTTCGACTTTAATACGGTACCGACGTCGGGATCTGTGTATGGAGGGCTCGTCCGTTATCCTGAGTCATCCCTTGACAAGGTGGACGATCTTGTGTATGACTACCATACACGCCAGGCCGTGGATGGCACCCTTACCCATGCAATGCCACAGTGGGTATATAATGGCACCAGCAACGACACTTACAATCTTACTCCGGTCGTCTATAATGACAACGTAGAGGAACTGCCATCGATTCTCAAAATGTGGCTTGATATCCCCCACGTCTCTACTACCTTGGAACGACGAACGTATGAGAACTTGTCCATACATTTGAACGAAGGTTTCGGGCCTGGACTAATGTATGTGAGGTATATGCCCCGTTTGTCTGTGTTTAATTGACTAAACCACCTATTTAAACAGACAGGAGCAGCGGGTATTCACCGTTTATGCAGACAGAAAGTTCTACAAGGACGTTCTCTTCCAATTCCGGCAATGGCTGCAGAACTATCAAGACGTTCCCGGCTTCCTCGGGGCACATCTCAACATGCCCATCACACCCCGGCAGGTTGAACAAGGCCTGTTAAAGGGAGGAAATGCACTTGGTTTGGAAGGTGCTGGGAATAACACGTTGGGGAGTAAGTGACCGGCTATGAAATAAACTCGCATCGTTGTCAACTATAATCTAACTGATTCACCCCGCCCAGTCCTCTTTTTCGGAGTAACGTTCAAAGACCCGCAGTATAAAGAGCGAGTCCTACCAGAACACGATGAATTTGTTCGGTCGATGATTGAACTGGCTAAAGAGAGAGGAGTCCTATACCCATATATGTAAAATCTCCCGGCCCCGGTCTAGTCTCCCCCGTGACAAATACGTTATGTGGCGTCAGTTACTAATCGTGATTATCTGGCAGAATGCTCACATACTGCGGCTACAACCAAGCTGCTATAGCAAGCTACGGGCCGGAGAACGTGGATAAACTCTGGCGAGTCCAGCGAGAGTATGACCCAAAAGATGTGTTTCAGCGTCTTGTGCCTGGGGGCCAAAAGCTGCCTCCCCAGAGCAAATGACCGCCGCTGTTCGGCGCGCCGCATGGGTAAGAGTTCATCGACGAGGCCATCTCGACCGTTTGAACACCCCGTTCTTACTCATTATCATTAGTAACCATTCTTTTAACCCCATCCTGCACGCTTTGATAACACAGGACATGTGCGGTTCTGAGTAAATCCTGCGCTTGTCTCTTTTATCTTTTTTTTTTCAAGTCTCAGAAGCTGTTTACATCGGAGTGGTTTCATCGACAGCTGTTCGGCTTCTTTACTGTCGGCCATAGTTTATAGTCCTAACGAAGCAGTATTACCAGAGAAGGTTCCATATACACCAATCCATCTTGCCATGGCTAGTTCATCTCATCCTCATCTCGTAATATTCCTGTATATTCCACCCTATGTCTCTCATGAATCTCTCTTACCGTTATAAAACGGCGGGAAAGGAAAAGGTCAAAGTTATCGAGGGCGCGTATAGACTTTTCCGCCCGCCCGCCAAAAAAAAAAAAGTTATCCGCGCAAACGACGAGAAAAACTCAACTTCAACATCGTCCATCAATTCTCTATTACTTCTCATCTTCCTTCTCATCTTCCTCGACAATGCAACGTTACGGTCACTTCCAGGGTCCAGTTGACTAATGGACTGGCGCAGGTCATGGCGTGTTTCATCCTTCCACACGGCCCAGACGGCCCCCTCGGGCTGTGTGTGCCCTCAGGCTTTTTTTCCCCCTTCCTTTGCCCACTCAGCCTCATCACCCAGTATGAAGCAGGAATAGTAATAATAGAAGACTGGCCGCAGATCGAGGCCTTCGGTTGAGGGCGGCAGAGACTGGAGGCAGGAAAAATGTCGTATCAGCTGCATATCCTGCTCCTATTCGTCTGCGAGCTGCATGATGGCTCAAGAAAAAACCACGCCAGGTCGGCTGCATAGAATAGTTATGGTTAGCAGGCCCGCGCTTGCTAGGATGTGAATGCATAGCTCAAGCAGCTATTCGTGGGCCCCAAGTTTGCTCCAAAATGACTGCTGCATATCACACTTCTCATTCGATGGCTTGTTAGCAGGTATGGAGCATACGTGGGGTTCTTGCTCGCAGGGAGGAGTGGAGGAGGGGAAGGGATGCCCTTGAAGCCGCTTGAGAAACCCTGGACCGAAATTGGATAACACTTCAACACCCGCTTCTGGGCCCTCTAACGGCGCGCTGTGAGCTTGTGATTGTGATAATATAGCTGATTCTACGGCGCTGCAGCGCACCAAGAGGATTCGTTCATGCTTCATTCCACACATTTCGACGGGAGAGTGGCTGCCCTTGATGCCTGGTATGCGCCGTGAAACGGCGAAACAAGCTGGCGGCGGGCGCCCACACAGCGGAAAGGTGAACCTCGCACACTCGCTAGCCAGTCAACGAATTCCCCTCTAGCTGCAGCCTGTTTAGCCTGCCCAGCCGCCTTCAATTGTCAGGCTTGCGACACCCTGTGACTAACCTGCATACATGATTGACATGCCTGCCGTTCGGAATATCGGTTCGAAGCGTTGAGGCAGCACAGGGGAGCCAGGCTTCCTCTACACACGCACACTTGCATACTCACTCATGCTCGCACGCTCCCACACATATACACACGGATATTACATTAATGTGAGTACTTATTTATAGCGTCACATCACTATGCCATGCATGGTGATGAGTTTATGGGGGTTAAGTCCAGGATTTTAACCCGGAATTAGCCCCTATATTAAGCGCAGTTACTAACTGCGCAATTCCTTGGCGCCTGGATGTTTTACCAAGAGCAAGCAAGGGATAATTATGATAAAGAAAAACACATAATTACCCGGGTCACCGAGAGACGGCAGGCAAATACCAAGCAGCCCAGCGCCCAATGAAGCTGAGCTCAGCACAGGCTACCATGTGCTAAGGCACAAACCATGCCTGTGCTTACCGGTGGGGACACACAACATGAGCCTATCATTTTGAAGCGCTGGAAAAGCCTTAGCACTTGCCGATTGGATGCTTAAGGTACGAGGAGCAAAAGCCCTCGGTCGATAGCTTCACAATTTCTGCATCTGGATGAGGTGTTGGCGCCCCTTTCTCGTGTTCGACTGCTTTGGCTAGTCAGTCGTGGACACAGTTCATGCTCTGCGGCATAGAGGGATAGACAAGTGCTACAAAATCTGAGAGGTGTAAAGTTCTTCAAATGGTACTTATCTGCGGCTGCCCATGGCCTGAGACTGCCACGACCGTTACATCGGTAACTTTCCAGCCCACCGGGGGCATACAATGCTTGTGCTTGGTCTTTCCCCAGGCTATGGGCTGTGTGACAACCTTCACCTAAATAAACCCTGCCGCTATGCATTCGGCATGCTCTACTGTACACCCGCACCACCCCGGTGGGATCCACCGCTACCACATTACGCGAAATCTACCATTCGAACACCAGTGCACCCTGAGACGTTCTCTATTCTCATAGGGGGTTAAGTCGTAGCTATCAACATGCATTTTCCTTTAAGATGCTAAGTCCGAACAGACGCCGGGGTGGCATAGATTTGCATACGCCGCCACATTTATCGCATATGGGGGCGTTAATTTATGTGTCATGCGATGCTACCTCTGTGGAATGATGCATAATGCCTGGGGGGTAAAATAGGCCCCCCTTGATAAGCAGAAACACCCTGCAGATCTGCACCTGGGGACGGTGCAGCTAATTATGAATTCGAAGGGAGTTTTGGACAACGATTGACTTCTGCGATCTCGAGGATTTTGTCAAGATATATAAAGCATAACATCCAGAGAGTTTCGGTGGATTTCAATTCCTCCGATCGACCAACCTTTTACACATCAAAGTTTACCTCGAAAAGTCAGAGCCAGTCACACTATTTACTACTTCACAATGGAGCCTGTTCCTGTTCGTCGTATTAACCGATGGACCCAGGAAGAGGACACTATCCTCATCCAAAGGCTCTACGAGCAACAATCCTGTAATTACCTTGCCTATTCACTTGACCTTTCCTTCTTGTTGATTATTTATGGCTAATATATGCCTATAGACGATCCTGCTGGAGCAGCAACTGACTGGCAGAAAATTGCTGCTGTTCTTCCCGGTCGATCGAATAAAGATTGCCGAAAACGATGGTTCAATGTTCTCAGTGGAGGACTACGAAAGGGTGCATGGTCACCTGAAGAAGACTCATTCCTCAGAGACGCAGTACGGGTTGAGGGAAAATCGTATGTGACTTCTCAATCCTATACTGTCGCGGGCACCCCGATTCACATCTCATTTTGTGGAGTTAAAGCTAATAGATATAGATGGATGCGTGTTGCCCAGCATGTTCCTCAGCGTACCGCAGACCGTATGCCTTGATATATTCGAATCAAAAGCATTTGACTTGAACTAACTCTTGCTTTTTTCAGAATGTGCGAAACGATGGCAACATTTCCTGGACCCTACCCTGGATCGCTCAGAATGGACAGTAGAAGAAGTATGGCCACTCCATCTTTGTTGAATTTCAAATTATTGTCCAATGCTAATGCCTTTGCATAGAATGAGCGTTTACTCCGTGCCGTACAGCAACATGGGCGCCATTGGCTGGCTATCCGAAATCAATACCTACCACTACGATCTCCAAATTCTCTAAAGAACCAGTATGTGTTCCAGTTACAATCTTTATCCTTGAGCATCTAAAGAAGACAGTGCTCATCTCACACTAGGTATTCAATTCTTATGCGTCGTCACGAAAAAAGTCTTGCGTCTTCTTTCCAGAAGAGCCAGGGCTCATGGGAACTTCCTGCAAGCGACTACCATGCGGCATCTACGACCTCTCCGAAAACCCCTAATAGACGTTCTAAAACAAAATTCAACCGCAAGAACAGCTCTGAGACCGACACATATATTAAACAAGAGGTGGAAGAAGACTTTATAGGCTCTTCAATTTATGGTGAAGTTGACTACCAGTCAACTATGTCCCCCGCCACAGATTATGGTTTAATAAGCAAAGGAGCCTCAACCTCTGACCCAACCACAGATATATATGCTGGGCTCATTAAACAAGAAGAATTTTCAGTGACTGGGTATGATGGGACATGCTTTGGTTCTAGTCTTGGAACACAATACGAAGTAAACCCTGCTCAGTTATCGCATTTGGACGCCGGTATCCCATGCCACACCCCCGAAGAATTGTGGTTGACATACCCTACATCACCAAGCTCAACGGCACCTAGCGATGGCGACCTAGGCAGCCTCTCATCTCACAGAGATCAATGGAGTTACGAGGTGCCAGGAATGGCATTGCAGGAGCCAAGTGCACTTGCAGCTTACGGATACGGCGGATATCAATGAGGCTTATACTCTTCGCTCAACAGCGCCCAGATCCGAACAGCCTATAGCTATCAATATTACACCCCTCGAAGCTACGTGGCCTCAAGTTGATTTATACGACTTGTAAACCACTTTTCTCCTTCATTAACTTACCTTTCAGGCCCTCCAAACGGGTTTCACTACATTTCAAATTGTATCATGTCTTTGCTTTGTCACGCCCCTCAGTCCTTTCTTTTTTGCCTGTCCTAGTTTTCTTGTTTTTATGGCTAATGCTTAAATGATTAATGCATAATTTTGCAATGTTTTAAAAGTCATGACTAGATAAGAATTTTTGAATTGATTAGAAATCTTACTCCTACTTTTATCTCCAACACCCCTTCACTCCATAAGAATCCGCACTGTTATACCTAAGACTTGGGCAGCAGCCATGGGTCTCAGCCCTTATTTCCTCTCAAAGTCACATCTTAACATACATATAATAACCATTGTAGCCCGAAGGCTTCAAGAAAATCTATTGAGGCGGCTCAAATATCATTTCATACACGAAAAGCGGTAAGTAATTTCGGTACTGTGATGGATGAGAAACTGTAACTACCCTGCATACGAAGATCAAACGTATAAATGTAACAACCAGGCATCATGGGAAGATGGGGGCCAAGGGACCCCTGAGTTAGTCACGTATATGTTAACTGGCTGTTTATTTATAGACATCAGGCTTAATAGTAGGCCTTGGAGTGATAACTAGTGATATTAATAACCCTGCATAATTCATCTGGTTTCGCATTCATATTCAGCCTCCTTTGAGAGGTTAAAAACAGCAGACCCTAACTCCGTTGCCGTCGATATTAGGAGCATTCCCCAGATGACAACCATCGATCATCACTACTTTCATTTGATCTCAGGGCTAGCATAATAATAGGCTTACTCTCTGATCCGTTCGGCAGGCCTGTTGTCGGGATTTCCGCAATCCGTTTAGCGATCAAAGATGTGAATCAAGCGTTTGCAGTCATAGCTTTTTCAAGTCATCTTCATCACGCCCTAGCGAGTTGAATAGCGAGAGCATCTATAGAACTGAAAGTAATATTGTGTGCTATAAAACTTGACTTTATCCTTGACTTCCTCTAGGGGCCTCATTGCAGCAGAACCCTTAGCCAAACATGGCACAACGAATCGAAGGTGCGGATACGCCTTTGCTAGGCGAATACTGACATGAACATGATAGCCTCCAACGCCGACTTCGGTGCCTCTATGCGGTACCTAGGCCCAGCTGAGCTATGCTCAGAGCACCAGAGGTATAAGACGATGGACTAGCCTCGGGCAGAAGAAGTTTCATCGGCCCTTTAAGAAGCTATCGAAGCGCGATGGTAATTCCAAGCGCTTCATTCTTCTTCTTTACAGTGTCAGTTTGTTGGAACAGGCCCACAGGGCCATGTGGATGAAATGATGGAGAAGAGAGATCTTTGTTGCATATCCAGAACGGCTACCTTGGAAATAATGAGGGGGGCGGGTTTGACAATTTTTGCGGTAGGCATTACGACTATTGAATAGCACTATATTTGGTTATGGCTGTAATTGACAAGAAGATAGATGTAAGCAGCGCTGACGTGGTAAGGAGATATACACAATATGCCAGCCATCAGGGTCGAAGCCCTACTTCGCACATAAATAATCGTCACGATGTAGACAATGGCGTATGGCTAAAACAGAGAATTACCGGATTTATTGAATGGTTATTTCTTTCATATAACATTGAACTGGGTACTGGTATTTGGCTAAGTAGTTACTAACACCACCCTCCTGAAACACAAATATGGAGATTTATGTACTAACAATCCAACTACAAGGAAGTTTATACAATGACCAAACAATTCATTCCTTTATTTCAAGCCGATAAGAAGGAAACTATACAGTTCTCCCAACTACGTCACGATCCATTAGGAACTTCAAATGGGTGTCCGGACTCCTCATAATGTGAGTTAGGGCTATATTGCCGTACAAGCTCCTCTAATGGGTTTGAATCTTGACAGTATCTAGTCTCCAGGACATCGTCGATTACCCTGACTGCAGTACCGCGTTGGACCTGGTTAAAGGCTGGTACTTCAAGGTTAATTCCGCAAAACATAGAATTGACTAGCAACAGGTCAGCAGCCATGAAGGACCCAGGTGTGCTTGAGTTTCTTAGAAGAATTGAGCAGCATAACAAACGTAGATAGCCAAAGCAATGGGGCCAATGTGAGTCATCTCTCTAGCTAACTCCGATATCTACACCCTCACGAGCTTGCTGTAAGGTAAGATATATTTCCGAAAGACAGTGTAGTTGGTAATACCTTTGAAATAGTGATTAGGTATAATTTTTAGATCATTAGAGCAGTGCTGTAATATCTAATATCTAGTGTTATATTTGGTGTGTCTCAATAGTATTTCCGTGTGATTAGATTTTCTTGCTTCTATACCTCTGCTGGGTTGACTATGTGTATGTCGTTTGGGTGTCTCTTTTAGTATAACCTATTAGCCCCAGCAGGATAAGGATACAATGAGCTATTACTAGTGACCACTATTTACACAATGGACTCTTATTCGGTAGTTACTGCGGTTTCATTATCTGCCGTGCCCCCCTTTGCGGGAAATCCTCTGGCCTACTTGTAAGAGGGGTATTTTCTAGATCTGAAAGTGAAAGTGAAGTACAAGAGATTTCAATTTCCATATCCATAATTTACTTCTCTGGATTCATCATAGCTTGGGAGAAGGAATGTGATCTCTACAGAGAGGATAGAAAAAAAGCATAGCTTCGAATATACATATAAAATGGCAGAAGGAACAAGCATTTCCCCCGCATCAACGTAGACGGGATATCTACTCCCGAAAATTTACCCTGATGGTCTTTGACAGCCTGACATACGTCAACCTATTCTAATATCGCCCAACCGTACAGATACTATTCTTCCGAACGCCGCGATAAGTGTAAATACTTGTTGGAAAATGGGCTATCTGTATAGGTCAGTAAATTAACTGCAATGTAAGCAGTCCCCACAATACAGGGTACACGGGTTATTTTATATAGCTACTTACCAACACTTCATCCATGGCTTATGTTGGATAACTTGCTGCAAGCATGCATGGAGAAGACGCACGAAACATTTTGTTAGAGTTGGGCTAACTAGCGCGCCAAGGATTCCAACACCTTGGAACAAACACGGGACGGATGCGGAGACCGGATCCACCCGAAAACCCTAACTATGTCTTTCAATTATTTTCGATATTATTATCAAACACTGAGTTTTGGATTATTCATATAACGGGAGCTCCTACGGTACAAATGTTACATGCTAAAAGCCGTTACGCTGCCAAATATACTAGCTATGTGTTCTGACTCGTCAAAAACCGCCCCATGCTTTCAGTTACCCCTCCTTAGGCCTAGCAGCATATAAGCCTTGCAGGCTTACCTCATATGCTTCTGGCATATAAACATTTTTGCTATCGTCTGTTGGTAGATGCATACTCTTTTCCTCGCTACATGTAGGGTATATTCTTGAAACCACTATGAAATTTAACATCTTGACAGGAATGGACAGCTTTTTGGTTATTAAAAGCATAGATAAGATGAAATCCACGGCAACAAGTGCTTTTAAACCCGAGTAGCATTGAAGGAGCTATGCCAGGAGAAATATTCTGGTGTATTTCTCCTGTGGATGTATACGGAAGTTATAGCCTGCATTATACACGCGCATTATGTCTCCCTTCACCCTAAATTAAAGCTAAGATGCTACTTCTAACAAGGAATAGTATGGACTGACTTGCTATACTATGTACTACTTCCAAACGTTACATGAACATAATTGGGAAAAATGGAATGATAATCCACGTAATTATATGCATATGACACATGATATGCATTAATATCAACGGGACAATAAGGAATTTTCTGCTATGCATGTATTAGGTTTATGGAGGGGAAACAACTGGACATGGATTTTACGAAGGAAACAAAGGATACTGGTCATGAAAGGCGAAAGGAAATACAGGGAGTCGTGGGAATCTGATATCTATATCTGAGATTCCTTAGATGCTATTAACTGGCTAAATTTTTCTAAATCCCAAGTTCCCTAGCCAGGGTGAAACTATAATAAATATCAACAGTGATGGACATATAAATAAATCCACGGGGTAGCTAGGTCAACTCCCTCGGTGCTTTTCACCTGAGTCGGATTCTCACCAAACTCTGGGTACGAATGCCTCATATTATAGCCAATTAGTAGTGCAATAAGCTAACGCTTTCAGCACTTGTGGCCCAGATAGGGGTCGCAGCAAGATCTGGGTACGATGTTGCTCTCTTGTCTGTTGGTAAGTCCGTCTATATGACTACTTCGAGAAAACTATTGAGGTCTCGTACCGGTAATAGAGGTTGCAATGGCTAGGCTTGCCAAAGCAAAGCAACAAATCCTGTCCATGTAAAATGCAGTGCAGAGATTTCAAGCCGAAGGAAGATGCTGCTAGCATATCCCGAGAAAACACTATTGTTAGGAGGCAATGGGGTATTAAGATTAAGTCAAACATAGGTTGATTTAGGCAGTATACGGTAGCGTAGCCCGCACGATGTACAGCTGTGGATTGTATTACTGTCCCTATTCTATTGAGCTTGAATGGCAAAGAAGGGTTATCTCTGCCCTTAAGGGTATCGTAGTTGCCACTCCTGTTTCGGGATATGGGTATCGTTTGAGAGATGAAGCCCTGGCATGACTTGAAGATTGCCATTTGCTGGAGAACTCAGCGGATATGCAGAATTAAGGTCACAACTAGATACATACAGCTAGCAAAATTCAAACCATCTGTATTCAAAGAAAAGGCAGCCGCAGTACTTGCCGCTCTGCTACTGTTGGAGTGTTTGATAAGACGATCCCACGTCTGCACTGAACGTTATGAGTCAGAAGATGGTTGACTGCTCTGGTATCATGTACCATCTGTACCTCAGCTCCAATAAGCGTATACCCCTGAACTAGAAATTCACGACTTCTTCTGCGGCGGTACTATTAGTTGCGGTTGCCATTGCTCTTGCTCTGAGCGTGAGGCCAGATCTCGCCTGGCATAGTATCCAGCATCTCATACTGGCTACAGCAATTCCCGTTAGTGAGGAAGAGGACGGTTGGCAGATGACAAGATTTAAGAAACGGTTCACCACAAATATAGTTACGGCATGGTTGACTCGAATGGGTTTGTCCATATGGCCAGGAAGCGGGCGTTGGTGAAACCACAGAATTAGTATCATTCTCCATGGCTGAACGTGGAAGAGGATATCTCACAGGGAACCAGAGGTCAGGTTATGTGGATTGGACATTCAACTCTATTGGTATGTTGATCTCAGGATATGCATCTGGCAGTGCAAACCAGTGGCTAAAAGATACTATTGTCAGCGATTTCTCTGAGATATTTTCGAACTGGCAACTTGGCCGTTGGGATGAGGATGCCGCCAACTGACATACAGCAACGAGAACCAAGTCAGTGAAAGAAATGATACTACGACGACCATGGAAGCAACTGGAACTGCAGACACAATACAGCTACCTCGGGGCCTTTCAGTTTCAAAAAAAGAAAAAAATAGGCCTATATCTCTTTGTCGGTTTCAGTCGTGGTCTGTGGCGCGGTTGGAATCTACTATGTATACCCCAGCTTGCAAGCGGCTTGGTCATGGAGACTACTATGCATTAGCTCTATCATATCGAGTGTTGGAACAAGTTGCCGTGAAATAGTTGGTCGTCAACGTAGAGTGCTGATGATAATTTCTGGTGGATATGTCAAATAGCATGAAGTTGAATAACCATGCATAATACGAGGGAATACCGCGGCTCCATGATCTTTTATAGCACACCTAACAAACCTTGATCTATACCGCGTCATCAGAATCATGAACAAGTGGGTGCGTTGTTCGGGTGGAACAGAAGCACGATAGCTCCCATCTAGACCGCTTAACTATGTCTCAGGCACGCTCTTTGAATCCCTGAGACAACATAGCCTCATTTCATGCGGAAGGGGGTCGTTCAAGGAGGTTGCCAGACCGGATTAGTTAATTGTTGGGATAGAAAACACAGTAGCTGAATTCCATGCTCAGTGCGGATCTTTCGTATGCACTTGATGAAACCTACAGTGAGTACGAAGTCAGTTCTGGAAGAAACAGTTCACTAGTTCGCTAAGGCTGGAGTTACCCCTGCATTTCTAGGTCTAGAACGACGAGTCCATCTACTAGTTCCCGTGCCCTAACTCAGGGGCGACCAGAGTGTCTGGATAGTATTTCTACTTTTGCCATATGAAAGACCGATATACGCTAAGTTACTGGGTATCAAGTTGTCGTATCAAACGAGCCAGCTCGAATACATCATTACCAGAACGCCAAAAACCGTAAACGAGTGAATGCCCAAGCTATTTTATTAGTCAGGCCAGAAAACTAAATACAAAACTCCATTCCAAATATGAACAAATAGACAAGCCAAGAATTTAAGAAGCATAGGCCTTGCCAACAGGAGTGAGCTGACCTCCCTTAACGAGATCATCAGCCATGAAATAGGAGTAACGAGCAACGCCCGCATTGCTGTCGAGCCATGGGAGAACCTCGTGTAAGAATTGGACCTGAGAGTTTTCGTCACCATCTCCGCGGAATTCGGTAAGCCAGATCTTGTCGATACCGTGGCTGTGGGCCAAGTTGACAGAATCGGTGATGTGCTTCTTGAAGGCTGCAACGTTTTGGGCAGAGTCGTACCAGTGGACGTTGAGGAAGTCGATGTTGCATTGCCCTGCACAGCCGTCAAGGAATTTGCCCAGCCAGCTCAGACCCATCTCGCCACCACCGTTAGAAACTGCAGGGGAACCGATAGAGGCTTTTCCAACAAAGGGTTTCATGTACTGCTTGTGTGCTTGGACTGCATCCTGAGGAGACATGTTCGCTTGCGATGGGATATCAGGTTCGTTGAAACTGAGAACATATTTGCAACCGGTAGATAGAATAGAAGGGGTTGACTCGGCCCATTGGCCGAAAAACTTCTGTCCCCAGAGCATAGGAGTGTAGTCGATTCCACCCAAGATGTTACCAGAGCTAGAACCCCAGTTATAGGCCCAGGAGAAAGCACGAGTACCCTTGAAAGCAGCCACAGCCTGAGGGTCATTGTAGGCCATACCACGCTTGCCCCCCTTGACAGGAGCAGCGATGACAGAGCTAGCCAAGACTCCGGCGACAAAAAGAGCGTTGAAGGAGACCATTTTTGCGATATTGATTTAAAATCGAGCAAAGCTTGCGCAGGTTTTTTCTAGCAGCGTGAATAATTGATCAATGAGTGAAAGTAATTGGTAACAAGGTAGTGATTGGCGCGCTTCTCAGAAGCGTAGTAAGGAGTGAATCGGGAGACTTGAAGGAGTGAAGTCTGGTATGTTAAAGAGAGTTGGGATGTACAAGGAGAAGAAAAAAAATCTGGGGCGAATGAAGGAATATATACGCCCAAAAGAGGTCACCCTTTTCAGGTACCACCGCCTGTTCAAAGTTTCTGCCCTGAATTATTTTTTCTCCTGCCAGGCTGCTATTGGATGGGACAAAGAGCGCCTATCGTGGCATGGCTCGATATTGGAGGTGTGGAGCATCAAGGGAGTTTTAACATTCCCCTGATTGCATCTAGGCCATTGGATGTGGGAACTTCGAGATAGCGAGCTGAACGCCCCGTATCGATTATGGGCGTATCGCCCAGCACATATAGAACCCACAGGCGTACCTGAACATACTTCGATATTGACGGAGGAAAATGCCCGGAGTATTTTCTGTGATAACCTGCATGGTGTTTGCATAATGTTTCACCAAACAAAAAGTCAGACTCCAGAAATCCTGCTGGATCATCCGAGAAACCTGAGTGACCAGCCGAACAGGAAGACAGGTGGCTGTGGCACATTCGTGCAAAACGAACTGGAAGAACCAATGGTCCATACGACAGACATGTGGCATCACGGAGACAAGTGACTGGGAAGGGGAAGAAATGCCATCTTTCTCCCTCAGAGCAAATCCTGTCTGAGGAGTCAATTTTTTTTTTTTTTTTTTTTTTTTTTTTTGCACACGTAACGAATCCTCTTTCTTTGGGTGTGTCTTCTTGGACAAACCTTTTTCAGATGGGCGTTTTGGTATGGGTTGAATTCACTCAGGGCATCGAAGTTCATTGGCTTGTCCCTGGAACATGCATAAGACCATCTGTGAGCCAGAGAGGAAGGCGTTAAAGGCGAGAGGCAAAATTTTCTTTTTCCTCCAATGGTCGCCAACCAAGATCCATGGATTCAGCCCAGATGGGGATGACAAAGCGCTCAAGAACCTAGGTTATCATCCTTCGGCAAAACTGTGATAAAAGAAGCCGTCTACTGGCCTACTCCACCTCGAATGTGCCATCTTGAAGCCTTTGCGGCCATGTACTCCGTAGGAGTTGCTGATATTAATATCAGGAATCAAGATAGACGACAAAATAAGCTGCAGTCAGTGCCAAGACTTTATACCCGCGTTACATAAGCTTAAAAAACCTAAAGTCATCGCTGGATCACATGATCTTGATTTTGGCTCGCTGTACTCCGTACAAAGGACGAATGGAAGAGCCGCAAGAGATGAAACGGACAGAATCCGCTGATGGAAGCATCAGGGTGTGGCTCGTAAACGTGGGGGAAAGACAGCGATCATGCAAGTGTGTGTTTGGGAAGAGTTTCTTACATGCATGTATACAGAGAATGTATGTATCACAGTAGGTGTCATATCCTGTGGTTATGGAGCACCACCTATCACTGACTAGAGCCTGTAAACCATTGGCGCGTACTGCGTACATAGTATGGAGTAATAACCATTCATGTAATCGCCCAAAGTTACCTTGATAAATGAGATTATGACAACTCATCTGCGGCAGCCTTGCTACAGCCTGACTTTTTGTCTTTGGATGCTTGCATCCAGGCACCAGCGGTTAATATCGAAATATGAAAGCAGGCATCAGATCTAGCACAACGCGCGGCTCAGGGAACGATAAGCTGACCGCAGCCATGATTATTTGTGGCCGTGTAGCCACGAGAGAACCCAGGGAAAAAGGAATAAACTGGGCTATTATTGAGCGTATCTTAGGGCCATCGGGGGGATGTCTTTTTATCAATTCCTTGCCTGCTATCCCATACCTTAAGTTTTACCTCTTCCCTCTAAAACTCTTAACACATCACTGACATTGTTCTTGTCTCCTTTCTTTTTCTTTGGCCCTCGCTTTCTCTTGCTGTGGCTGGAGCCTCCCCGGTCAAGGACCTCTTCATCTTCTTCATCGCCAAATCTACTCCCACCGAAACCCATATCGATATCCAAAGCATCCTCTCTCTCCCGTCGCCTGGCTTCCTCCAAGAAGGATCTATGCTTTAGAGCAGATCCATTAGCCACGCCATCGGTGTCGTCATCAGATAACGGGTCGTGTATCCCGATCGTCGCAGCCTTCCGTAAAGCGTCTCGAATGGTGGGATCGGATACAAACGGGTTTGAACGGTCAGTTGGCTGCTGTTCATCAGAGGCTCCCAGCTGCCCAGATTTACCAGTCGCAAAGTAGTCACGGCGCTGTGATGATGAGAGCTTCCGTTCGAGCTTAGTTTCTGTATCAGCTTGAGGGGAAGCTTCCTTCACACTTGGACTCTTTTTCTTATCACCCTCCTCATTTGACGAAGAATCCTCATCCTCTTTGGCATTGGCCAGCGGATTGTAATCGTCTCCAACCCCAGCAAATATATCCTCATCCTCATCCGCCTCCACATCTTTGGTGGACGTCATCCTTGCCAGCACCTCTGCCGGAACCTCCATACCGAGCGGCTTTGCGTCCTTGTTCACAGAAAGCAGGTATGGATTCACCTCTCCTGCATTGTCCAGCCACCGAGTTTTTTTCTTTGTCTTCCCACTTGAGTCTGTAATGACTAATATCTCTTTCCGTCGCCCGTTCGCATCCGTCTCGATCCATCGTTTTTTGTTACTCCCCTGGGAGCCGATTTTCTTGAACTTGCTTCCAAGGGACGGCTCTGCTTGTGGCAATGCTCCTTGCCTGCTAGCTTTCAGTTGTTTCAAAATCTCGTCGCGGGTCATCTTTTGCTCCAACTTGTGCCAAAGGCGCAAGGGTGCCTCTCTTCTTCTCCCTCTCCTTTATTGCAATGCTCTCAACGTTATGCTTCTCTTTTTCCTCCACTATCCGTTCGAACTCGTCATCAGCAGTGCTGGGTTCGGGGTCATGGCTCTTGGTCGTAACATCTTCACCTGCTTTGACCCTTTTCAACAGCTGCCAGTCAAGACCCTTGACCAAATGAGTACTCGAGACATCACCGCCGACGCCGATCTCAGACCGCAGTTTGTCAAATGTGGGCTGGTCAATCTTTCCTAGCTTCAGCAGCTCTTCCAACCCGCGAACTCGCTCTTCTCGATCGTCTGTTGCTTTTTGTTCGTTGCTCTGCCGTAGTGATGCCCTATCCTCGTAACCCCGTGCATATTTAAACCCTTTTGGACCTGTAGCCGCTTTGAATTTCTTCGGTGGTGGCTGTCCCTGCACGTCGCGTCTGTGTTCTGCTAACTGGCGAGCGAAATCTACTCCTGAAACCGCGCGGCTAGCCACAATTCAACGTTACTATAGGCTGGAAAAATCATTAACATGTGAGATAGTGCGCTTACGGTGTCATGGGGATGCTGGATCGCATTCTCGATCCCAACGCGCTGCCTCTCTCAGTTGAAGTTGCATTCTCACCAGATGAGGTCTTTTTTGAAGTAGAATTAGCCTGTCTAGGGGAAGTAGTTGTGTTATCAAGAAGCAACCGACGAAACTGCTCGTTATTCATCTTGGATTTGGATATATGAAGTTGTTCAGCCTCTTGAGTCGCCATCTTGAACTTGAAAGCAAATACTTATGTAAGTCATGTATTATGTAAAATAATTTCGATATCACGTGATGAGATTTAGTTGGCAGCAGCATATAAGAAAATGGTAGTAAATCTCTAATAAGTTGCTCTATGTAGGAGATATATATGCGTATTAGAGCTGCTTATGGTGCATTTATTTCTACATCATCAAAACCTGTCAGAGTGGCTACCTGTCACGTCTGCTTGGCCTTTGGCTGTATATCTACAGGGATGCAGCGAATCCCCTCCAACCTGGAAGTGCTGGACATCGCGGAGATGGTCCGGGGTTGGCCAATATCATCATTCACTGCTGATATGGCTTTTGCTCTACCCCGCTAGAGCCCTTCGAAGTTTGGTGACCTTGTGAAATACTTATACCCTCTAAACAGTATGTTGTAATGATGGAAATCCTCAGCTCCTCTGTGGCCGGGATCGAACACGAGCATAACTCTGGATTGGTGGCAAGTTTTATCCCTTGTCTACCAAGCTCCAGTAGCAAATCATTCTCCTACAATGGGAGAGTCCCAAGGCAGATTTTTGTGGGAAGGCTGGCAAACCCTGGTGGACGAGTATTTGAAGGAGGTTTGATCCTTTGTCCAATAAGGCCGTGGAGGCGCCAAAGATCAACCAGGTGATCCAGATCCAAAGTCTGGTTATATAGGTATCATGAAAAACAGGAACTTCTCTGGTCGTACAACAGCCAACACAGTTCCAGCAATATGTGAGTGTGCCTTCAGACCAAAGTCGAGTAACGGGACCCATTTCTGCATTATAACTTTGAACGATCTTCGGCAGCTTAGAATTTAAGGTTTTGTTATCCGGCCAGTCCGTAGTTGTCATTATGTTCCCCTTCGAAGAGGTCAGAAACCTATCAATTCAGACATGCCTCTACTAAGTACGAAAAGCACTCCTTCGCTCTGCTGCAGGTATGCATCAAGTAGGGAAGCCTGGGATTGTCCTTATCACATGTATCAGGACCACGATAGCCAGCTTGGACTACTGACCTTCCCGAGGCCCGGTTCGTGTCGCCGGCGCATCCATCCAGTTATTTATGCACGTTATGGCTGTCGATCCTAAGCCAAAGCTTATACCATATACGACGCAGGATCGCACCTTTACTATGTATGCACACATGTATAAATCAGCCTATGCTTACAAACAAAAAGGCATCACCACTCTGCAAGAACTTGGTCCCACTTGGATCCCCACCACAATGGTGGTCGTGGTTTGTTCTCCGGATGTTTCTTTGGCAGAGAGCTACATTGATGGTTATAGCCCAATCGGGTGACAGAAGCCTGTCAACATGCAGCCAGGACTAGTTGAGAGTAAAGAACGGACTTGGAGATGCGGGGGGGGGGATGATTTGAGCACGTATTTCTCACGAGCTCCATGGTCCCAGGACGTAGCATCCGCCCAAGTGGGCGCCCTTTGTATTATGAGTCGGCGGGGGTCGGTCGTTCGGGCATCCGCAGCAAGTTGCTGAGATATAAATTTGGCTAACTGTTCCTGCTGGAGAGGAAGAATCTTCACCAAAGGCCTCCAACCCACTTCCAGTTGCAAGTCTTCTAATATCCAGTCAGCCAAAGGGAACGAAGTAACCGCCACAACCATGCAGAAGTGGATTCTCACAGCCTCTCTTATACTCCCTCTCGCCCTGTGTGTTAGCGGCGCTGCCGTCCCAAATAATGCCAACTGCAAAGCTGTTCATATAATTGTTGCCAGAGGAACGAATGAGGAACCAGGTGAAGGTCCTCAGGGGCCCATCGCCGATGCAATTGAGAACATGTTGGGAGGTACGGCAGACTCTGCCGCCCTGGATTACCCTGCATCCATCTTCCCCACTTATGCCAAATCCGTTGCCACCGGCGTCACCAACATGAAGAAGATGATCACTGAATATGCTACCCGTTGCCCACAGAGCAAACTTGTGTTGATGGGATTCTCACAGGTACGTAGAAGAGCCTTTGTCCATGGCTGCATTAAATCTGCCATAGTTTCTAACTGCAACCCTAAACCGTATAGGGGGCCCAAGTTATTGGCGACACTCTTTGTGGAACTGATGAGGCTTTCTTCCCATCCACCGAGCCAATTGCACCCACTTTAGGGAAGAAAGGTACGCCTCACTTATTAATCTTCTGATGGCGATATTTATGCAGAATATCAGACACGAACCACAACTAACGTTAATTTTTAGTTGTTGCGGCTGTGTTGATGGGAGATCCTACCCATGTTGTCGGTGCTCCATACAACGTCGGAACTAGCGACCACAATGGGGTATGTTCCTCTCAATTATACACTGAACATAAGACTTGTTCTTGAAGAGAATAAGCTAACCCCCCATGAAACAAATTAGTGGTTCCCCCGTCTCAACGATAAGGAGTGCTCTGGATATGACAATATCCGACGTTCGTACTGCGATGATGGAGATGTGTATTGCGACGCTGGTACCGATGGAAAGGTCCATAGTAGTTATTTTGCCAAATACGGCGCTGACGCCGCTGCTTTTGTCGTCTCCAAGGTCAAGAGCTCTTGAAGGAGGCTCACAAATTGATATACATGAACATATGTATATATATAATAGCAGTAGGGCGTTGCCCTATGCGAACCTAATCACCAACATTGAACATGTTTACTTCAGCCATTACGACACATCATCAGAGGCACTACACGTCACAAAGCCGTTAAATCTGAGCCAAGAAACAATTTTTTTGCCCGACTATGTCATGGTATCGATGTAACAGCCATTAATGTATATACTATGTACATAGTATGGAGCGATAAAGAGAAAATGAATAGCCCATTAAGGCTGTTATTCTCTTTACCGCATAAGATATTATACCATGGCCAAGCAGGCGAACTATTATAAACCCTGATCGAGGGCTATGAAAAACACCAAGGGCCATGGCAAAATTGTGGGCATCAATGCTGTCCCCACAATAGTGGGAATCGAGGGCCCTCCGTTTGTAAGGAGAAATTAAATCGCCACATCATCTCTACATAATAGATTTGCGATCGACAATTTCGACAGGCATAAAGATGGAGGATGGATTGGTGGATGATAGGATGACAAGTGGGTAGTAGAGCGCCTCTCGGAATGGTCCTTCTCCAGTGTATAACGGTGGGATAGGCCTTAAAGTTCCAGGGCTCTTCAGGTCAGTTGCACTTATACATAGTATAATACATAAATAGCTTGACACAACGCAATGCAAGCCATATGATCCCTGGATAGTTCAATCTCGTTATATATGGTGCCAAACGAAATGTGCAGCCGGATTGGTATCAACAGAGTTATATGGTCCTCTGGATCACAGTTGGAACAGAGGTAAATTAAACAGAAATATGACCGGGCAGAAACGAGAAACAAGGCCGCACCCACGGCTGCCTGGTGTCTGCTGTTGGATCTCTTGTATCTGTTAGAAATAATTTTCAAGTTTTCTGGTTAAGACGCGAGTTTATAATCACGTGGTATAGAAAAGCATTACTAACACGGTTTGTTAGGTCATAGTTAATCCGTTCCGATGTATAGATCAGGTGACCTCAGTTGAACCTCTTGAAAAAAAAAACATCTCGATTTCGATTATTGAAAATGCCAGACGAGGACGAGAATTAACAACGGGCAGGAAACCAACATTCCACCGATGAAGGGATATCTGTGGTGAGGAATAATTCCTACAAGGCACGCTGTGAGACTGGAAGCCACCCACCACGCATCAATCTATGTATATTATTAACATTAAATACAACAGATGAAATAAACAGATATGTACAAAGCAACCCGTAATATTCATTATTTCTTTGTGTGGTTGCGTTTCTTTTCTTTTTTGAGGGGTCTGACAGGTCATTGAGCGGAGAGGGTGCATATCAAGCCACTGTGATACCTCGAGGTCATATTTTGGCTGCGATTTTCCATCCTCCCAACCGAATCCGCAGTGCTGTGTAGCCAGCTACTGATATCAGGAAGTTCACCCCGGAAAATACACATGGATACGTGAAACTGCCGCCGTCTCGAGCCACGATTGCTCCGCCGATTGGAGGGCTGGTTAGCATTGCAATAGAGGCAATAGACACGACCATCCCCATTCGAAAGCCAAACTCCTTCATGGGGGATACGTGTGCAATTAGTGGGAGTCCAAGTCCGATCCCGGCTCCAGAGCTGATGCCGAATAAAGCGGCGAATGCAAAGATGGCCCCCGTACTCCTGCCTGGAAGCCACAGTGCCAATACAAGTATTGTCGAAAACAGTGTCATGACTATCATGACATTAAACCGGCCAACGCGATCGCCAAGATAGTTGGGCACAGTGCGACCGATGAAGCTGCCTAGGTTAGCCGAAGTTCTGACTATTTTTCGCCCTGTGACATTGGGACTTGGCTCACCTGGCGCCATTGAGCACTGGCACAAGCGAGTAAGCCAAGCTCTGAGGCATCCCATAGTGGATTGCTGACACAACAATGTAGTTAAAAGGAATGAACATTCCCCCTATGAGACAGTGGATTAGACCCTTTGTTCTGACATTGAACAGCAGGGCAAAATCACTTACAAAATAAGAAGAACATGGAAAACCACATGAGGGAGAAATTCAGCTCATTTAGAGGGCGGAAATAGTCCATGAGCTTGAAAGGACGTGGGCCGTGGCTGAGGTTTGACGTGATCGTCAAATCAGCATAGACGAGCATACCAAGTATCAAAAAGGCACAGGTTCGCATCGTCCAGCCGAACCCCAATGACGGGAGGAGATGTTGAACCATGAGCGGGAAGATAACTCCGCCCAGCGATGATCCGGCGACGGTGAGGCCGGCAATTAAGCCCCGCTTCTCGCGGAAATATGTTTGAGGCTGGAATGATGATCAGCAGCTATGCCTTTTCCATGCTCAAGGAGGTTATCGGAGAAGGAGATGAAGAACGTACTGCTGCCATTGCAGGGTTGAAGATAAACGAGGCTCCTATTCCTGAGCAGACAGACTGGCTAAGCACGAACTGATAATATTTCGTTGAGATGCTTGCCATCATAAGGCCAAAAACGTGTAATACAGTTCCGATGAGCAGTGGCACACGCGGTCCGTATCTGTCAAACAGTCTTCCTGCAACCGGAGACATGAACATCATGAAGAAGACTATCGTTACCAATGATTAGCAATGGCGTATCCCGTGCGAAACGCCGCATCCTGCCACCAGGTACCTACATTCCATCGAAGTGATCCAGGAGATGGTAGATCTGGGATATCCCTTCAGCTGATTTATCTCATAGTTTGCCTGGAACAAGGCGATGCAGTTGACCCATCCAAACGAAACGAAAAGTGCTGCTGCAGCCCCCGAGACCGTCAACCACGCCTTGAACCCGCCCTCTGGAAAGTTGGGTATAGCATCCTTTGGAGGGCCGCTGCTGTCTTGACTGGGAAGCTCTTGACTTTGTGCAACCGGCGACCTCAAGCCTTTCTCAAGGCTGACTGTATCAGTCTGCGAAGTAGTAGTCGAATCTTCCATCATGATACTCGTCTGGCCGGCCCGCAAAAAAAAGACACAGAATGACCGTTATAAAAAGCGACAGACTAACAAAGCGAATCACTCCCTGACTCGCAAACCGGCAGCCCCTCGTTCTTTTTATATACCATTCACTCTTTCGAACTTTTCTCCCTTTTTCTTCCTTTCTCATGCTCTGATATCTTCGGTGATAAGCTTAATTCCGGGTCACATTTAAACCGACGGAGATGAAGTAAAACCGAAACTTCTCACTCGGATTTATTCGTCACTCGCGGCTTTACTACTTTTGGGGAAAAAAGGAAATGTTTCTTCCTCTTCGATGTTTGATACAAGCAAGGATTTTCTCCCTCTGCCTAGTCACACACAGCTTTATATCTTGACTGGAAGATGAGAAGGTGAACATACGGCGCTACACGATTCTGCTGGCCGCTACGCGATGAGGGAACTATTGACGCCATACTAAATAATACCTAGTAGCCAGTGGATTGAGCCTGGCAGCATGCCCAAGTCGTTGGCAACCCCGTTGCTTGAATAACTTCTCCTTTAGCGGGCTGTCTTACCAGCTGGAAGGCTACAATTTCGTGTAATACAATTAAGATGCTCTGCAAATAGGTAAGCAGCAAATGGTAGCTTCTCACGAGTCACAGATACACACACGCGGATAGACACATGAGGTCACGACGCCCACTTCGTGCGCCAGAGACACCGTATCGCCTTTTATTGTCAATACTGGCCCTATAATTTTCCCGCCGGGCTACTTTTGTGGTTCTGTACTTGTCATCTGGTGTCCAGCAGTGCTACGTATCAAGCAAACATTGCTATGAGAGCACTTACACCGCCCCTATGCTGGTTTTGCTTATGCTAGAGATTGCTCACAGCAATCTGTTATACCCAAATACTCAGGTAATCGTGAAGTTTGCTTATTTGTAGACTGTGCCTGGCCGAACAGATAAAAGGGCATCTTACGCCGCCCCACGATCTCCCGTTTCCTCAAACTGTTTACATTGTCTTAAGCTCAAAGGGTCTACCATGATTATTCTCGGTCTCATTTATATTTTTCTCGTTGCCTCCCTCACTCGGGGGGAAGTCGTCCAGCAGGGTGAAACACACAGGTGTACGCTCTATCATCAAGTGCTCCAAGGAGAGACTTGCTTGGGAATTGCCTTACAATATGATATCCCTCCCCAGGAGCTCTCTCGCTTGAATAAGTGCGTTCACTCAAGTTCCTGCTAGTAATACGGAAAGTAGGGAATTGCTGACTTCTTATTAATTGATACTATCTTTGCAGACTTGGTACTAGGTGCTCGAGGCTCCAGCCAGGCGGAATTATCTGCGTTGGTATACACGATTCATCAGACCAACTAGCCCCTCGCTCCCTTCCTAATGGTGTTCATTGGATGGAAAATCCACCGCGTCCAAGCCAGCCAAATGTGTCCAAACTCTGTGTTAAATGGTACAAAGCACAGCAGAACGACAACTGCAAAGTCATAGCCGAGGAAAAGTTCCATTCGTTCACATTGCAACAATTTATAGCGTGGAATCCTGATGTCGGCTCCGAATGCACGAACCTCTATGCTGGATGGTATTATTGTATTGGCATTTCCAGCCAGGAGCCTCCCACAATAACTACAATGAAGCCCACATGGCCGATAACAACTACTACGCCGAACCCCGAGCCTCGGCCTCAACAGCCAGGAACGATCCGTAGCTGCAGAGCGTTCCATTACGTTAAGGAAAACGAGAACTGCCTCAATATTGAGGAGGTATATGGGATTTCCGATGCTGAATTCCACAATTGGAATCCTGAAGTTGGAGCCACCTGTTTAAATCTCTGGGCTGGGTATTACGTCTGTGTCAGGGCATGAGGAACAACCCATTTGCTTCTGTTTACTTCAAGGCAGATTATAATATCTTTATTTATGCTCCTCTGAGGGTCACAGCTAGGCTCAACCCTACTAAGTTCTTAACTTGAGGATAAATTGGAGTCTTTTCAATACTGCTCATTCTCCTCCCAGACAAAACGGTATTTGTTTCCCATCCTGCCCGGAATCTAACAGTAACCCGTAGTATCTACTGCAATTATCTTCCCGCCCTCCGTTACTGTCCCGTTGATCGGGAAGTTGAACGCCCCAGACGTTATAGCGTATAGGGTATTAGTGTCACCAGGGAGCCGCCCAAAGGCTGGCTGGACCACTCCAGATACTGTTAGCTCGTCTGGTTCACCTAATACAGCGGTGACATTTCCATCAGGTGAGACGGTAATCAGACGGTTATCTGCGTTGGTCGCAATCCACATAGTGTCGCCGTTGCGCGGGCCAAAGGTAAAGTTGTCGAGGAAGAATGAGCGGATCTCTTTAACGAGCTCGCCCTTGGCGCCTGGAGCTGCAAATCCTTGACGTGTCATTCGGATACGGTAAATTCTGGCCTCAAAACTGTTGGTCCAGTACAGGTAGCCTTTGTGGTACTGTATACCATCGATGCCGAACTGTGTAGGAGCCCAGGGAGGACCACGCATGCTCGGATCTTCAATTCCAAGTTTGTACTTGCGAGCGACGGTGTCGACATGCCATACCACGCCAACTGTCGAGTCAGCGACTAACAAAGTACTCGGCTTGTCTGGGATCACATCCAATCCGGATAACAGACCGCCGTTAGGTATGTGAACAAGCTCCTTGACGATCGGCTTCCCAGGGTTGAACCGACGGCGAGTTGGACGAAGATCAAGCTCCCAGACGCCGAAAGTGCCGTTGATACCGATGCCTAGATGCACTTGTTTTCCAGCGTAAAAGGCGTACACGTCTGGCCGTGTTTCTATGATACTTGTTGCGACATTTGCGACTTCTGGATCAAACTCATAGATTTGAGAGACCTTGGGCGACTTGGTCGAGGGCCCAGACACGTAGTATATCGTCCCATTTGGCCAGGCAGTGGTTACGAGGATGTCTCCATTGGAGCGGACGTAGAGGCTCTGCAGGTATGTAGGGTCAGGAAATTGATGGAGCACTCGATATGGAAGCGGGAGGGATCGCTGGCAGGCTGTGACGGTGTTCACTAGGAAGGCAAAGAGAGCAACCAGCTTCATCAAGCAATCGAAGGCAAAGAATCTCATCCTGGCAAGCAAATGGGGAGATATCTGCTTTGAATCCGGCAAACGAGGAAGAGCATCCAGTTACTAGTCCCTGGACTGGGCGGTCAACTGGTCAATTGACCAAATATATACAAAACTACCAATATTCCTAAGGTCAGTTCGAACATCTTTGAGCCAACAAGAGCGTTTGTTTATTTCATTCTATCCTCCGAATAATCCCTTCTTCGCCATTCCTCCGATACGGCTATTTTTTTGCATCCTCCGACTGTCCTCTTCTGATTTCTCCGAAAGGCGCCTCTCGAACTCTCTGCTGCAACATCCCTGCCAACTTGCATACATAGTACAAACGTCGCCCTATCAGCAGGAAGACGACTGGCCCTGGTCATTTCTTCGCTCCGTACGGAGCAGTTAACTCGCAATATTCCTTCAATATGTTCTATATGGGCCCCTCCATACCCGCTGGAGCCTTAGCTTTACCTCCTTTGGGACCCTTCCTCGGAGCAGACTAGCTATGCCCACATCTACTCTCTATCTGGTGAGAGCCAGACATTATGGCTGCTCAGCTGGGGAACATAAGTACACGGAAACCTCGCTGAATAGATTTTCTGGGTCATTTTATATATTTTTCGCCGATATCCTGTGGCAGGCAGTCTGTGTTCAGTGATTGCCTCCATTATCTTCATCATTATACGTTAGGCTTGTTGGAGTGCAAACCCACCAGTTCCCACCATGAAGCTGGCGCTCCTTTCCCTGCTGGCCTTTGTCCCCAGCTGCTATTCTCTACCTTGGACTGCAAGCCAAAGCCTGGACGTGAAGCGGGCTGACTCGTGCGAGAACACACCTACGTCACGGCACTGTTGGGGCCAATATAACGTCGACACGAACTATTACACTACGATTCCAGACACAGGCAAGACTGTCGAGGTATGGCTATCAGTTCAGGAGGGCACATGCAATCAGGATGGATACAAACGGCCCTGCATGACATTCAACGGTACCATGCCTGGACCCGCCATCATTGCAGACTGGGGAGATGATCTCGTCATCCATGTCACTAATAACCTGGAGAGCAACGGTACCGCTATCCATTGGCATGGTGTCCGTCAGCTCAACAGTGTTGAACAAGATGGAGTCCCGGGTGTCACCCAGTGCCCTATCCGCCCAGGAGAAAGCTACACATACAAATTCAAGGTCACCCAGTACGGGTCAAGCTGGTACCATAGCCACTTTTCCCTGCAGTATACAGAAGGTTTATTTGGCCCGCTTATATTCAAGGGCCCGGCAACAGCCAACTACGATGAGGATAAGGGCGTTTTATTTCTTCAAGACTGGTCGCATACGTCCACTTTTACCGACTGGAGTGCAAAGGAGAAGTATGGTATTACCAAGTCACTGAACAACCTTTTAATCAATGGCACAAATACGTTTGACTGTGCTGGCTCGAAGGACCCTAACTGCGTGGGCGGTGGCAAGAAATTCGAGACTGTTTTTGAACCTGGCAAGAAGTACCTCATCCGTCTGGCAAATGTTGCCATGGACAGCCTATTTCAGTTCAATATTGACGGCCACAAGCTCAAGGTGATTGCCGTTGATTTTGTGCCCATTGTCCCGTATGAAACTGATAGCGTGCTGGTCAATGTTGGAGAGAGATATGATGTGATTGTTGAAGCAAACGCAACCCCGGGGGACTATTGGATGCGTGGCGGTTGGCTGAGAGCATGCCAGGGTGTTGCAAATGATAACCCAGGCTCCATTACCGGCATCGTGCGGTATAATCCCAAAAGTACCAAAACCCCCACTACTACCAGTACCGTTCAGCCACCGAATATTTGCGCAGATGAGCCTTCAACAAAGCTAGTGCCCCGTGTTAAGTTTGATGTCACTAGCATCACTGGAACCACTGTTGAGGATATAAACGTACGGCTCACACATACGGCACTATTCCAGTGGACTATCAATGGCAGCAGCCTTGCCCTTGATTGGAACAAGCCGACCTTGAAGTATATCTTTAACAACGCATCTGACTTCCCTACCCCTTACAACGTTGTACCTGTTGAGGTAAGATATTATCCATTACCTCGAACATATTACCCATTCTAACACTTAAAAACAGAGAAAAAATCCCACTGGCGATGAATGGGCGGTATTAGTCATTGAAAACACAGCTGCAGCGCTCTTTTCAAAGTAAATATCACCCATTCCCCATTCAGATGACCCCAGGAGAAAAAATTAACAAACTTTGTCCCACAGTATCGCTCATCCCATCCATCTTCATGGACATGATTTCTGGATTCTTGCTCAAGAGACAGGGAAGCTATGGGATGGAAGTATGAAGTCCTTCCAGATGAAAGACGCACCGCGACGGGATACTGCTTTGCTTCCCGCAAGGGGATACCTTGCCATTGCATTCCGGCTGGATAATCCTGGCGCATGGCTCATCCATTGCCATATCGCATGGCATAGCAGCCAGGGCCTGGCATTGGAATTCGTTGAGAGTCCAAACTCCATATCAGTAGGCACTGCTGCCAAAACCGTATTCGACAACACCTGTGCCTCATGGGAAAAATGGTCTCCCAGTTCGCCATGGCCACAGGATGATTCGGGTATTTAGATGTAAGCTGAATTAATAAAACTGGAGTTTATAAAATTTGACTGGAATTGACATTGAGCCCCCCTAGCCTGCACACACCCGGTCTATAGATCCAACGTATAATGTCTATAATATCTTAAGAAACGGGTTCACCATTTTAGCGTATATATATCACTCTAGAGCAGTTTGAAGATTCAGAACAAATTTTCTTTCCCATCGAATGAACGATTTTAACTGGTTTGTAGCCAAAGCTCAGGAGAATATCGAGACGAGCTAATCTCGAATCGCATAAGCTATTTTGGAGCTACAGAGTGTGAGCAATTACTGATAATACAAGTGATAAGTGCAAGCCTGCAATGAAAACTATTTTCGGAATTAACAGTATCTATTGACTGCCCTAATTCACCAGTACTGGTTAAAGAAGCGAAGGACCGTCTTATAGCCGCGGATATACTCTTCTTTGGATCTGGGGTTGGCCAAGTCGGCCCGCGCCGCCATCCAGCCATGAACTTGATCACCAAAAGTCTCGACGTGGTTGGGAACCTTCAACTTGTTCTCAAACTCCTTTATGGTCTCGGCTGGCTCTTCCTGGGAGGCCAGGAGCATATATGGCACGCGAATCTTGCCAGCATCGGCAGTGTCTACCATGGCTGGGTGGATGCCAGCAGCGATCGAGAACGGGTTAGAATCACGCGAAGTTACAAGCTCTGTGACCTTGCCCCCCCAGCAGTACTACAAGGCTGTTAATGGATTTTCTCAGGTAGAGGAAAGGACCAAGGACTTACACCAATGAGTGCCCATGATTTGATAGAAGGGTTAGCGGCCTTCAGGGCCTCGACGTATTCTGGCAATGCGTCGGCAACACCATGGGGAGCATTATTACCGAACCATGCACCGAGATCTTTCTGCTTCTGCTCGGTATCTGGAGGGTACCTGACAGTGATATATTAGTGAACGCCCTCTTTCTTTTTAAGAAGCTAGAGACCTACCATTCGGTGGGACATGGATTTCCTTTGAACCAATCCGGCATAAACACTTTATATTTGCCATCATTGCTGGCTCCAAGGATATCAACGCCCTGAACAGTCTGGTCGACGTAGCCGAATATATCAAATACGGCAACGATACCCTTGGTTGCATTGGGAGCGCCAGTGACGTCTAAAGCCAGTCTAGTACTTAGCTAAGAAATCACCAAGAGTAGGAGGCCCTACTTACACGTCTTCAAACCACCAAGCGGCTCGTATGAGCCCTTTGGAACGTATCCCGACGTTATAACCGGTGGGATGTTACAGCAAGCCTCGTTATGACCGTGGGTAGCGGGCATGGTAGACATGGCGGCGACCTGAAGGCAGGGTCTGATGGAAAGGGATGGAGGACAAGCCTTTGTCAATTGCTGTGAAATATTCGTTGGCTGCAAGGTCGAAATGCTCCTGGTTGTAGGATGGAAAGTGGCCAGGGCACGGGACGGCGACGGTGATCTTATAGCGGAGGTAGAGGCGTCCGGTACTGGCGATAGAGTTGCCGGGTATGCCCTTAAGGCGGAGTGGATGGCACGCCTCGACACCCGTCCTGGTAACTGCGAAGACATCTTTGACCCTGTAGGGCGAAGAGCAAAGAATATCACACTGGCATGCAACTCTGACCAGGTCTATCGAGAAACCGAAGCTCGACTGGACCAGAGGTTCAAGTAGTCCGACTTTTCTTAGAAAACAGAAGGGCAGTCAGAAGCTTCCGGAGTTGAGCGCATCGGAGCATCTCTTCTGGACGTATACTTTGAGCCATGTAAGTACCGTCCGGCCGCGCGCCGGGACCTGCAGCATGCGTCATGGGAACTCTAGCCTTGCTGGTTCATCGTAGAAAGGCAAGGCGGACGAAAGGAACAGCTTCGGATGGTCGGAGATACCAAAGCGGACGTCAAGTGGAGCCAACCTTAACGGCTTCTTTTAAGCTTAAAATAGTCTAAACGCTTTGAGTATCAACTCGAAAAAGACGGACAATGCGATCCGTACGTATTCTAGAAAACCGAGAGGAAGAGATAGAAGAATCTGGAATGCCGTTTTGCAAGGGTTGCTGATATCTCCTCTTTACCGTTCAAATGTTAACGTGACTCACCACTAAATGCCCACCACCACTAAATGCCCAGCCTTTTGTAAATCTCTGTACCCCTCTACTACTTACTCGAAATACCTATAAAATAGCCAATAAGGTAGCAATTACTACTACGATTAAAGAATTAAAGTCGCAAGAGGTTCCTAATTACTTATAAACTATAAAAAAGTAGAATATTAATCGAAGAACCCTTATGCGCCATTATTAAGGCTAAATAGTATCCTATTTCGAAGTAGTATTAAAATATTATAAGACTCTTATAGATAAGTAAGAAGAAGTCCTCCTATAGTATATTAATCGATTAGTAATAAAAGGCCTATCTCCTATACCTTAAACTATTCGAAATCTTATATACGAGCTTATAAAAGAGCCTATAGGAGTAAATTAGGTAGCTAGGTTCTATAAGAGATATAAGAATTAAATATAATATCTCTATCTTCGTACGATTAATTAAAAGAGGTATATTACTAATAACTCTACGTATTTTAAATACTTCTATAAGTCTATAAGTATTATTTAATAGACGTTTTACTACTAAATATATATATACTAACTTCTTATTTACTTTTAATAGTTTAGGGATATAATCGAGAAATATAATATTACCCTAGATAATATTTATAACTTTAATAAGAAAGGCTTCCTTATTAGGCTTAGATATACTATTAAACGTATTATCCCTCTTTAAACTCTTAAAAATCGAAGGATTAGTACTATTTAAGATAGATCTTACGAATTTATCTCTCTACTTACTACTATTTCTATAGATAGTAGAAGAATTCCTCCTATACTTATTTATAAGGGTAAAGGAGATCTATAAGATACCTAGCTTAATAATTTTAATCCGGAAGAAGAAACTACGTACTTTATAACGTTACTAAATAGCTAGAGTAACGATAACTTTAGTTTAGTCTAGCTTAAGAAGATATTTAATAGATATACGAAGGGTAGTAGAGGTAGAAGGCTTCTTATTCTAGATAGGTACTTATTTTATATTAATATAAGATTTATTAACTATATAGATCGAAATTATATCCTACTTATTATTTTACTTCCTTATTTAACTCACCGGTTATAGCTACTAGATATTAGAGTCTTTAGTCTACTTTCTAAGGTATATATATAGGAAGTTAACTACCTACTTCGTTCTAGCTATAGATATACTTTAATAAAGAAACGCAACTTCTAGAAGTTATTTTAATTTTTATAAGGTATAGTATAAGGCTCTTATAGAGAAGAATATTAAGTCCGGGTTTAAAGTAACTAGTATTTATCCTCTTACCTCGAAGTAGCTTAAGATATTTACTAATAACCGGCTAAAAACTCCTCTAGATCTTTATTCTATTTAGCCTACTCCTTCTATATCTATTATAGCTAAAAGCCTCCGTCGCGTTATTAGAAATATAAATCTACTATAGTTATCTAATTATACTAAAGTATCTTAACTTATTCGCGCTAGTAAGAGGCTTATTATTAATAGGGAGCTCTTATTATATAAAAATAAGGCTCTTACAAATACTCTACGGCTTAAATAAATATAAAAGAGGAGAGGTAAAGGTATAGACTTATTCGATAAGGAATATACTAGCTAGATTTAATTTTTTTCCCCTTCGAAGGTATAATAAGTAAGAGATTAAATAGCGGAAGAAGAGGCTAAAAAATAGGACAAAATTACTTAAGTAGAAGAATTAAAGCTTCAACGTACGATTTAAAAGGATATTAAGGCTTAGGAAGCTATAGAGAAGAAGGCTTAAAGGCTTATAAAGTAGTAATTGTAAAAAGAGGCCTAGAAGAAGGTAAAGATAGAGGCTACTACTCGGCGCGAATAAGCTACGATTAAATAATAGCGTAAGGCCGATAAATAGGAAGTCTAGCGACTAGCTAAGAAGGCCGAAAAGGCCTAAATTAACGCTTTAAGGCCTATTTTACCTTCCCAATTAGGAAATAAGGTAAAATTACCTCGGAAAGCTACTTTTATTAATCCTATTCCTTATATACCCTTTTTTATATCCCAACCTAGTATAAGTCGTACGGGGCAAAATATTAAGCCTAATTTACGGAGCGAAGCGAAGTATATTGTATTCCAAAAAGTGGATATATAGAAGGGGTCAAATGTGCGTATTTGTGGGTCTGCTGTAAATTACGTGATTGGTTGAATTCTGAGCATTTGATTGGATACTTGCAACCTTGCATGAGTAGTGGCTTGGCAGCTTAGTCATCTTACCCCATCAAAATTGAATGACGATACTTTGTCATCAACATGTTGGATGGATGCTTAGTCATCGACATGTTGGATGGATGCTTAGTCATCGACATGTTGGAGGGATGCTGAGTCATCAACATGTTGGATAGATGCTTAGTCATCAACATGTTGGATCGATGCTTAGTCATCAAGATATTGAATGGATGCTGAGTCAGCGGCATATTGGATAGATGCTTAGTCATAGGCATGTTGGATCGATGCTTAGTCAGCTGCTTAGTCATCTTGCTATCTCAGAATGCTCGAGTTGAAAAATAATGCTGAGTCATCATCTTAGTCAGCGGATCACGTGATACTCTTTTCTGAATATCTCGTTGGATATATTCGCTCCATTACTTATAGATAGCTCTGCTAGCTATAGGAGAAAGCTTAGGCTTTTGACCTAGTACTCGTTTATTATTTTCTATATAATTTAGAACTCTACTATCGTTATTTAATAATTTATTTACTTTATTACTTACGTTGCGTTAAGATATATCGATATTTATAGCTTGATCGAACGAGTTGAGCGTTAAGATTAGGCGGGCATTTAGTGGTGGTGGGCATTTAGTGGTGAGTCACGTTAAGGGAGAGAGTGAGCTGGTCGGAGTCGGAATCGGTCGCATGTCGGTCGCAGTCGGAGAAATCGCCCAGACGGGTCAATCGGCGAAATCTCTACTCACTGTGCCGATATATGGAAAACTGGCCATGCATGGAAAGTTCCTTTAAACATCGGACGTATGACTAGTGACCTTATTTAAACCGGTGCTTGCTATAGTTATCGCGGGAGCTGCGTGTGTATAGATAGCACCAGCCCATAGACTGCAAATAACCTGAGCGGCCAGTTAATTTACCATCCACTCAATACCCCAATCTATACGCCTGATCGAAGTATCGATAAACAAGCAAGGAATTCTATATCTCGAAAATGTCGACTCCCGGTGTTCTGATGGGCGTCACCGTCCCCATGCCTACCTACCTCTTCAGCGCGACTGTGACCCTCGCGAAACCTCTTAACCCGATCCCCCTTCTTGAGGGCGGAGTCCGCATTGTCGAGCCCATTACTGGCGGAACCATCCAGGGTCCAGCTTTCAATGCCACTATTGAAGGTGGTGTCGCTTCCCCAATCATCGTCAAGAGCGACAACGGAACCAAAGCCCAGATGGCATATATCTATGCATACGGCCACGCGAGCGATGGGTCGCCGTTTTACATCGAAGAAAGCGGCATCGGGTCGGGCGCAACTCAGAACACAAGGTTGATAATCCAGGTTGGAGGAAAGTACCAGGACCTCCAGACGCTATATGTTCTCGGGCAACCAACCGTCAACGAAGCAAGGACTGTGGCATCAGTTGAGTGTTTCAGCGTACCGCTGCCGTGAGGATAGCGGAGGTTATATGGAGAAAGAGTCACGGGAAGAGCCTGTCGAAAAATAAATTAAAGCATCTTGTTTTAGCTATCTCTAGAACAATGAGAGTGATGCCCCATGGCGCCAGTCAGGGCACCCTTGACTGATCATAAAATATACAAGTGTTTTAATTGGAAATTAGTGGGTATAAGGGATGAAGGGAAAATATTAAGTATCGTAAAACATTCATCATCGGATGAGGCTGGAAAGAGGTAGGAGTGAACATAGGCTACCGGCTGCTTGTTGCATCTGAATTTGACCGTGCTCCTTCGTCCTGTACCCGGACAGTCCAGTCTGTTGTATATCGGATGATGAGCCTGTCAGATCTATCCTCTTCAGTCTGAGATCGGCTGTCGTTGAGTATCCTGCTCTCAGAGAAAACATCGGCATGCTGGCTATATTCATCTGGCCGAAATGATCTCTGTGCACCGGCAAACTTGTTCTGTAGCGAACCCTTGACACTCTTGAGCGGTCGTGCTCCTGAGTTCCCTATTCCGTGCGGATGGACGACCCTTCTTAGGCTCGTCATAGCATATTCGGTGAACGTCTTGTCGTACACTCCGCCGGCCAGGCGACTTTTAAAGGAGATGCTAAGCAAACCAGTATTTGCCCGGTCCATGAACGGCTTGAAGCCCGGAAGACAGGTTATGATGGTATTTAGCATTGCATGACACTGAGTCGCGACGTGGTAGGGAACACTGTCGAACATTGGATCCCCCGAGCCGTCTATATCTTTGAGATATGTTGCTCTAAGGATACAGGCGGCGATGACCCTGTATGAACCACGATTAGATATTGTCAACAGTGGTAGAAAGCACATATCGACTCACACTCCTCGACTGGCAAACACGCCAAAGACGATTCTTTTCTGTGTTTTATTCATGTGGAGGTCCCATACGATCCATCCCGGGACGAAGATCAGGCAGATGTCAGTTAGTACGTCTATACCTGTGGCAGCAGACCAGAACGCAACCTATTTATCAAATGTCAGCCTGTAATACAAAGAAAAAAAGGAGGAAGAGAGAACGGTTGATACATACTATATTGAAACATTTTGCTTCAGAATGGGGCTTCCAAGGCGCGGAGGAACCACATTGACAGCCATACACAATGATTGATATCACCATCCACGCCAGCAAGAAGACCAGGGATCCCTTGATCTCGCGTCTGTACTTGTTGGCCGGCACCACTCTCTCAATAAAGCTGAGAGTCGAGATCTTTGCCAGAGAAACGGCCAGAATATACATTATGGACGAGACAAACACATCCTGTTTTTTACCATGTTAGACTTGGTGTTTTTTCATAAGAGAAAGGGAATATGTATATTATATATACCTGTCCGGCCCTTGATACCTGCTGTTCACTCAGTTTCGACTCGCGTTTCCCCAAGCCTTGAGTGACGGCAAGGGATATCGCTATGACGCCGGCGATATTGACAAGCTGGAAACGTTCAAGTTAGCATCAGGTACTTACGACACAAGGCTGCCGGAGATATCTGTACCATTGAGCCTACAACAATCGCATCGTCTATACCCGGGATGTGAGATGTCAAGTATCGGACAGACAGCCTCAGCGTGGTCGCCAGAATCATTACCACCATGGCAAACCAGGCCACGATCTGGATGATGGGCCCATGGTCATCAGGCGTCACTACCGTATGCCTCACGCCATCAGGCGCCATAGCTCAGGATGGCACAAGGTGAATATATTTTTGAAGGAAAGGCTTCTCGATGCCAGCAAGAAAAGAATATAAATCCATGGGCTACAACGCTGCCACTCGAGGCAGGATACTCCGTATATTTCTACGGGACACCAATGCTCGGGTTCGGGAGGATTCTGGCGCTCGACGGTTTCATAAATGCACACCTCAAAGGAGAAAAGACAAGAGTCAAAAGGGCCTCCTCGACGATCGAGGGGGCCCAAGAGCCAACGTATATATTCACGAAGGAAGGCCGGCAAATGTGGCGTGAGAGAGCGAGAATGGCCGGCTTCTACAGGAGGAAAGTTCTTCGAAAGAAGAAAAGAAGACTCCCTTCGTCTTCCCAGAGTGCTGACATCCCAAGTTAGGATTTCAATACATTTTCCCCTGGAATCGGCTGCTGCATATGATACGAAGCCGCATTGAGAGAGCAAGCAACATTGGTCTTCCCCCTTCCCTTCGAGACGCTCTCTTTGGCTGCGGAGGACGGAGGGAAACGCCAGCCCGTCCAGTCCAGGGTCGTTTTCTTTTCCCATCACACAGGCAAGGCTCAAGCCTGGGCAAGCCACTCGTCGAATGCCCTGTCCCTGTTACGAGGGTCCATATAATTTTACCAGGTGGCCGCTTGTTTTGACGCTAGGATGGTGCAGGGCCCTTGATCGTAAGTGAAGCGAAAACCACCGGTTCTCCCGAGATGGTGGCCAGATTTGAACCTTCGACAAAGTTGTTAACGTTCGATCCGCACCTGGGGGAAAGCGAGAGTCTGTCTTCGCCTTCGTATCGGTGGCTTTAACGAGAGATCCGAGTGCGAACGTTGAATGGGAACTGGTGTTTTACTATGTAGCATCCGTCGATCTTGAAATCCAGCCCTTGTATCAGCTCGATACTTATACGAGCGCCCCCATGCCAATATACCAGATTATCGACGCTAACTGCCGGACTTGGACCTCCGTCCCATACATATCATTGTACTGGTGTTGTCCTCTGTACTATCTATACTATGTATGTATGTATGGACAAGAGGTATGGAGTACAAAGCTCACAAAACGCCCAGCAGATAGCGTGGGGACCCATAAATCCCTATAGCTCAGTATATCCGCCTCTGGATTATAGTGCTTCAGAGGGCCACTTTTCTCCAGCAGCTAAACCACATGGAGGATATCCCTCCATGCCAGAGAGAGATGAGTTATGCCTCTTTCGTCCTGGTAGCTCTGGTGAACTCGGTTGGTCTTTGGCCGAAGTAGATGTTATTGGATGGCATTGATATGGAGACAGATTCCCATAAATATTTTATGCAGCTGGAACGGCTGGACAGGTCTTCATCAGCCCAAGGCTTTTTTCTTCCCCTTCTCCATAGCGACGAAGTGCAAGGAGAAGATCCAAGGAAGTGCCGGCCGCCGATCGAGTGGTACTGTGGCCATTCAAGGATTGAGACAAGCCATGGTTACATAGTAGAGCCGTGGTTAACAGCGCAGCCATCAAGAGAGTCTCGGCCTTCATGCACCTCGCAATTAAGTGGCGGGACAACCTTCGACGGGAGTGAACGCTATGGAGGCAGATACTCATACAGGGGTGCATGTACAAAGCTAGTCCAGAGGAGACGGCCGTGTGCCGTCCCACCCTCGCCAATGCACCAGGGATAGAGAGAGAGAAAAAAAAAATAATCCCTGGAGCTGCCAAGTCGAATCTCCAGAATGCTGATATACGGCCCGGCTGCCCTTGTCTCCTGTCACCCTCTCGCTTTGGTGGCTGACTAGTTAAGTGGAATGAGAGTGTGTGCATACGCTGGGGTTCAGGAAAAAGAAGCAAGCGGAACGCCAGCCAGCTTGGCCAGGGTGAAACATTACTCGTAACAATAGTTAACTATTGGGCTTGACATCTAAAGCTCTCTATAGCAACTCCTCTCGCGGAGCATATACATAGCAGAATCTCGTCCGTTTTGATTGCTGCTCTTCTCCCCCATGCATATTGAGATCACAACAGGGCCCCGATTATTATATGCAGGCAATGGGGTAGCCTGTACTCCGTACCTACATATATATATCGACTGCAACGATAATATCCTACCCTGGACTCTCTCGCAAGGGAAACAGGCAGGCCGGGGGGCCCTACATGCATTCCCGAAATCCACCTCTGTCGTCTAATGCTTTTTCTCTGTTCTTTTCTCTCACTCTGGGCCCCTTTTTGCGAACTCCCAGAAATATTTTCTAGCAAAAATAATCAGTTGACTCGTCTTTTCGACTGAGAAGCAGATAATCATGGCGCTGGGACAATCGGAAGAAAAGATCGTCTCTCGGGTTGAGAATCGTGCTATCCGCAATTATGACGGTGAAGCTGCGGCTGCTCCAGACGCAGACGCCGCAGATATGGCGAAGCTGGGTGTAGCGCAAGAAACAAAGGTCTGAATGAATATGCTTCTATGTCTCGTTATTTTTTTTTTTTCCCTGGGGGGGATACAATAGACCTTACAAGGGGCTAACAATCATGCGCAATAGAGGCGATTCGGGTTGGTGACAATATTGGGATTCACAACCTGTGTTATGGGGACATGGGAGTCTTCTCCTTCCCCACGCCTTTATCCATATCCCTTGAGAAAAAATTGACCCATGCCGATTTTTTGCTCCAAAATCCTTCTTACTGCTTATTACAATGGAGGGCCGGTTACTATGGTCTATGGCTTTATCCTTGCCTTCTTCGGCTCGCTGGCAACATGCGCATCCCTTGCTGAGATGGCTTCGATGTGAGCTCAGAGTCTTTGATCACGACTGAAATATTGCTAAGTTCTAAAAAAGGTACCCTATATCCGGTGGACAATATTACTGGGCGTCTCTTCATGCACCGCCTGGAAAGGTCAAGTTCCTCAGCTTCTTGACTGGTGAGTGTTCCCGCCAATATGATCGAATTGGCCTCCCATAGTAATGATATATATAAAAATACGTTTAGGCTGGCTTTCTGTTCTTGGATGGCAATCCGCGTCTGCAACCGGGACATACCTCGGCGGCACGATCATTCAGGGGGTCGTCAAGCTAAACTACCCTGAATACACGCCAGAGAAGTGGCAGGCGACACTTATGCTCTATGCTGTGCTCATCCTCTCCCTCTCTGTGAATGTCTCCCTTGTAAAATGGCTACCGGGAGTTGAAGGGGTCATTCTGATTATCCATGTGGTTGGATTCTTTGCCATCATGATACCCTTGGTCCACCTTGCTCCCATAAGCTCCGCCAAGTTTGTTTTCACCGAATTCATAAACACTTCAGGCTATGGTAGCAGTGGACTGTCCTGGCTGGTCGGCCAGTCGGCCAGTGCTGTCTTGTTTATAGGATACGACGGCGCATGTCATATGGGTAAGCCTAGCAGTCAATATCATCACCACTCACAATTCCTTTCCATTTACCTGTGGCCACATCAAAATATTTTTGATCCTTGGGGGGTGCTGACAGTCTCATAGCGGAAGAAGTTCAAAACGCCCGCCTCAACGTACCGAGAGCCATGTTCTTTACCATGTTCATCAACGGTGCTATGGGCTTTGCAATGTACCTTGTTATCCTTTTTTGTATTGGGGACATAGAGAAAGTCATCCACACCGAAACCAAAGTCCCCTTCATCGAGATATTTCGAAATTCAACACAATCGAACACGGCTGCGACTGTTCTTACGTCGCTACTAATCACAACGTACATCGTTGCAAATTTTAATTTCATGGCATCTGCTTCAAGACAGGCGTGGGCCTTTGCTCGTGACGGCGGCCTGCCATTCTCACATATCTTCCGAAAGGTACTTATCCCTACTCCCCTTCTACTGTCAACTTTTCAAAATTAAACACTAACCACGGAATATAATACTTAGATTGATCGAAAACGGTCTATCCCCCTTTTTTCGATTGCTCTTACTGGAGTATTAAACGCCCTTCTTGGTCTGATTAACATTGGATCAAATGTTGCCTTTTCTGCAGTCGTCTCTCTTGTTGTGTCCGGCTATATGTCTTCCTACGTTATCGTCATCTGCGTCATGATCCATAAACGACTGACCAAGCAGAGCATCGAGTTTGGACCTTGGAACCTTGGCCGTTATGGACTACCGATCAACATTATCGCCGTCATATATACCACCGTCACCGTCATCTTTGCATTCTTCCCCCCAACCGTCCCTGTCACCGCCGAGAATATGAATTACTCGCCCGCTGTTTATGGCGCGGTTGTCATCTTTGGAATCGTTTACTATGTGGTACGAGGTCACAAAACCTATGTTGGTCCGAAATTGCCCCGAAATGCCCTGTAAGGGATCGTGTATCACTTCTAATGACCCTTTAATGATGAACATATGAAAAGCTATTGAGCAGTTTATTGTGTTTTATGGTGGCTATTTAAACTGGATAGACATGGATATATTGCTAGCATTATTTCTAATATTTGTTTATCAATATTACCACCACTTCTTTAAACAAAAGATGCCTCTGTAAATTTATGTAGTAATGACCAGTATGGTACGCGATTACAGGGGTTCAATATCATTTCTCAATACGAGGATGGATGCTCCAATGGTTAAGTATACATCAAAATAAAAAAGGATAAGAGAGAAAAAAAGCAAAAGAAAACAACAGTCCAATGCGCGAAAGCGAGAATATATAACCAAAGTTCGAACGTAGAAAACGCTTCATGCGTGGAAATTTAAATCAACATTGCGAGACAAGTAGCAGCCGCTATATAATTTTCTCAGGCGACGACAGTTGGGTTAGACTTTTCACGGCTTTTCGCATCCTTCTTCACAAAATACTCATGAGGTGGCAGAGGCGTCGAGATAGAGTCATCATCAGAGGGAGAAGAAGAATCTCCGAGCGCAGGCGTGAATACCGGACTGCCCACCGATAGCGGGGAGGAGCTCACCGTATCCTTGTTTGACAGAGTAGCCTGATGTATAGATCCAGCAGGTCCGTTTTTCTTGGGCTGAGGACTTTGCTTGGTAGGCTGCTGAGAGTTTTCTGCTGAAACGTCGTCTTGGGCAGCTGGCATATTTTCCAGTGCTGTCTTCACCAAGTCAGCAATTGAACCGCCACCCAATACCTTAAGAGTGGGGACATCGACCTCCAGCTCCTTGAGGAACCAAGAGCGGATATCGACAGCTACCAGAGAGTCGACACCCTGATCAACGAGCGCGATGGAATCTTCAATTTTCTGCTCTTCGGTCATACGCAACATGCGTTTCAGATGGGCTAAGAAAGCGTCGCGGGTGATAGTGTAAGCATCCTCTGGGTTGTTGGCTGCCTGTAGTTGCACCTTGACACGTACTCCCGCTTTCACGGCCTGAACCTCTGAGCCTGTCTCCTCACGGAGGATGAAATGACTAAATTTGACATCACGCCTATGGGCTTCCTGAACAAAGAAATCGCCTGGCAAGAAGTTCACACCCATGGCCACCTGGGCCTTCACTTGTGAAACTTGACCTGGGCGGCCTGATACAATCGCCTCAGCGAAGAGAACATGCAGGTCTTCTTCACTAATATTAATGTATCCAACAGACTGGAAATAGTCAAAGTCAAAGTTAATGGAGTTTGCCGCATAGCCTACACCAACAACAGCCGGTATGCTCATGGCGGAAGCAGCAACGCCGCGATTGCGTCTCTTATAGACTGAGGACGTCATATATTCGTTGGCGGCGGAATAGTTGCTCTGTCCACTCCAGCCGATGACGGACGCAATACTAGAGGCAACAATAAAGAAGTCTAGTGTTTTGTCATCATAGAATAGCTCATCAAGCAGTTGGGTTCCCAAAACTTTGGGTTTGATGACACGGGTAAACTGCTCAAGAGACATGTTGGAGAAGAGCTCGTCATCCAGTATCATGGCACCGTTCATCACACCAGCAATAGGGGGAAGGGTGGCTGTGATAGCGGTATGTACATAGTGAAGGGATTCACGCGATGTTATATCGAGAGACATAGCTTTCACGACAGCCCCATATCGCTTCTCCATGTCCTCGATAAATGCTGGATCCACCTTCGGCGTGCGGCTGGTGAGAACAACATAGCGCGCTCCATGAGAAATCATCCAGCCAGCAAGAGATTGACCAAGCTCGCCTGCCATGCCAACGAAGAGATAGGTACGATTGGCTCGGAATAAAATACCAGAGTCAATAGGCTGGACTTTGGCGACTATAGGTGCAGTTGTATCCCATTCCACTACCGCTAGGGGCTCCCTAGCAACTCTATGAGAAGGCGCAGAGCCTAGAGAAATACTCTTAGCACCAACTGGCCCAATCTTCCTTGCGCCGTTCAATGCATCCTGCAGAATTTGTGTTATATCCACCAATGGCTCTGAATTAGATACTCCGCCGGTGCTGTGTCCTAGAGCTGCTTCTTCACTGATTCTAAGGCATCCTTCTGGCAAACATGATAAAATGGCATCTCTCACGGCATCGGATGCATCTCCCCGAGAGAAATGGACGAAAACAGCCGCAGCATCTGGGACTATGGACTTGATAACATGTTGAGGGAAGTTCGGATGAAGGAATAGTGAATTGCCGTCAGTATTTTGTCGCAGTTCAGCAGTGGTAAATACAGTGCTGATATTCTTTTTATTGGCCTTTTGTAGTATAGCACACTGCAAAGACAAGTCTGCCTCGTTAACCAGTAAAATTCCCCCTTCAGGAGTAAATGAAATGATATGCCCCGCAACAATGTTGGCGGCCACTGAGATAAGGGTGTCGGCATCAATTGTTTCGGAAAGAAGAATGCAAGATGATTTTGGGATATTTGCTGGAGACTCTGCAGCGCTGGAAAGGGCCAAAACAACTTCACTGGTATCCACATCAACACCCACACAGAGTCTGAAGAATCCAGCTGCTCCGACAGCAACGGTATGGAGGAGAGAGTGTGTGATTCTGACGGTGCGGTATGGTGTCTCAGGGATTACTGGTAATCTGAGAGGCGAAACTTTGTGCAACTCAAGAGCCCGCTCCTGGCCCTGACCAACTCCCAAAAGCTCTACAGTTTCTTCTGAAGGGTTGATTTCAGTAAAGATCTCCCTCCGTCGTGAATTATAGCGCATGTTTTTCTTTGCATCCGGTAGTAGCCTGGTGATAAGTTGCTTTCCGCTTTCAATGAACACCTCAGGCTCTTCTGTCCACAGCAGGGTTTCGTTGTCAATACCCCAGCTCTGAAGTACACGTTGTCTTAGCAGTGTCTGAGCTAGGATATTAGCAGTGGCTGACTCGATTCCTCCACTGGAAGATTTGCAGTCAATGTCAAATAATTGGAAGCTCAAGTTAGGGTTCTCGTTCTTAATTGTGCGAGCGAGGCCCATCATCATGTAACTATAAGGGGTATCTTCCCGAGATCCGCAGGTTACCCAGACCACAGTTCCAGATGTAGCACATATTTTAAGTGCTTTGAATTTATCCTCCGTCAGGTCTTGCAGATAGGGTTGGTCAAGGTCCGTAAGAGAAAGGATGGTCACCGCCCCAGAAACAGACACAGATTCGGACATGGCTGAACAGGCAAAATCTTCCACTGTATTGAAGAATTCCTTTTCGGGGAATCGATGCGATAGAACATCGGATACCTCGCGCCCAAGATCTTTTACACGGTCCGTAATCCCTCCAATAATAGCAAGGGCGTCAGTTCTTACACCGATGGGATGCTGTTTGACTGCCAAGGGGTTCCGTAGTAGTGTGACTTGGTCGTTCACAGCCTGGCCAACAAACACACTAATAGGAAGCGAGGAATCAATGTTGGGGGTGACAGTGTCGATTCCTGAAAACCCAGTCTTCTTCAACACTGAGTCCCACTGGTCAAGGGTGAGCAATGGCCCCCACGGACGACCTGTTTCAGCACCAATCCACCATCCTGGAAGCGTTCCAACCGTCATGCCACTGAATAGGAGGTCAGTTGAAGTAAGCTCACCTACTACAATAAACCCGCCAGGCTTCAGGAGACGGCGTATATTAGACATTGAAGCTTCCATGTCAGCAGAAACGTGAAGCACATTCACAGCTACTATCAAATCGTACGAGCCTTCGGTGAAGCCTTGTTCTGCAGGGCCTTTTTCCATGTCAAATACCCTGAAGCTCATCCTGCCACTTTCATTAATAAATCTTTCCTCCGCAGCCATGAAGAAACCACTAGAGATATCCGTAAACGTATAAGACGCGTAAGCGCCGTTGAGGTTACGGAGTACTGAGGACGTAGTCGCTCCAGTTCCAGCTCCAATTTCAAAGATGTTGAGACCAGGAAATCGATGGGAGATTTGAGATACTATTCGGGCGAGCCAGCGGCTTGTTGGACCGGCACATATGGCATTCTCTTCGTAGAAGGCCCGTAGAAGGCCGTCTTGGTTCATATGCTCGAGCATAGAGTTTCCAGCACGAATCACAGGGACCAAATTATCGCCTACGACTTCAACGAAGCGAATATCTTTGCGACCCTCATAACGTTCCAAAATTTTACCGATGTCCTCGCGAGTATCTTCATTGCACTCCGGCCCAACTTTTGGGGTTTCGCCGCGACTCACCATACCAACCATCCGGTCACACCATTTGAGGTATTTCTGGAAATGAGGGAGTAGGCTGATGCGTTCTTCGGGGCGAATAGATAGGGAAGCATGACGCGCAAACCAATAGGAAACACGGTCAATATCCTTGTACATTTGGATCTCGAAATCGGTCACCGTTTCACCTCCGGCAGCCAATTGCCCATCTGGTGAAGCAACCTGGTATTGGAAATGCGAGAACATAGGCAAGTCATTCTTAGGGGTAGCAGGTGAGAAAGGCACCAAGGTTGCACCTTCAAACTGCACAATAGCGTGGGACTCGTCATCGGTATGTAGGTAGATATCTCCAATGATTTCGGAGGGTTGCTTGCTTCGGATGAAGGTTTCAAATTTCATAACGCTTTGCTTACCTGCTGGGCCTAGAGTCGTGAAGTATGCGTTTATAGTTACCGCAGAGATAGTAACAGGAACATGTAATGACCATAGTTGGGTATCGCCAGGATATGACCATGCTGCAAAAACAGTTTGGAGGGAGGAGTCGAGCATGCCAGGATGAAGAACGAGGTTGTCGTCCCATTCAACTCCAGACTGGTCAAAAAGCGTGCCGACGCTATATCCAGGCTTGCGGCGGATATTGGATACACCTTTGAATGGATGAGAGTAGCCATATCCAACACTGGATAGATTTGTATAAAAGCGCTCGTCCTGAACGTCAACTAAGTTGAAGGGTGTCGCCTTCACCACAGGGAGGCTATCGGGTTTAGCAGGAGAGATATGACCAGATACTTGACCTTTCGCGTTTAAAAGGATATTCCCACCGTCAGCCACAGAGTAGCAAGCCCAGTCTGCTGAGATATTCGTCGATAAAGTAACAACTGAGGACACGCTGAAAATAGTCTCGATATTGGAGTCATCGTCATTAAATGCAATAGCTCGGGGAATATCAATATTGGTTAATTTAATCATGCTAATGGCATTTTCGGCATTATTATCGAATATGAGACCTTTGATAGCTTCTACAGCCATGCTAACATATCCTGTAGCCGGGAAAACGGTCTGACCTTGCAGTTTGTGGCCCTTGAGCCAAGGCATATCATTAGGGCGCAGGAAATTTCTCCACTGAAACTCACCAGGCGTGGTAGCCTCGGAGCATGGTGAGCCCAGAACTGGGTTAGGGAGATGGGTAGCGCGTCTATTTTTGAAATGATTCGCGAGGCGACTATTCGTCCAGTAGTTGCGTTGATGCTCAAATGGGTATGGTGGAAGATCTTTCAATGCCTTTCTGATGCCAATACCGGATAACAGTGCTTCTACAGCAGAGAATCGAACACTCCCGGAGCCAAGTCGGGTCCAGGAGAACCCTAGCGCTTCACTAAGTTGCTTAACGTCGTCTAGCCCACGGGACAGCAGTCCGGTATATGGAACATTGCCAATAGTGGCTGTTGCCGGCCCTTTAAGTGCTGGATGCGGGCCAACCTCGATGGCCAGATCGAATATACCGGCTTGAACAGTATTCGCAAGCGCATCAGAGAATAGAACGGCGTTGCACATATTGTCAACCCAGTACTGATTAGTTAGGCGATGACTGGTCATGGGCTCACCCTTATAGACACTTGAGTACCAGACGGTTGTTGAGTCTTTCTGTGGGATGACTGGCCGAATAGAGCATCCCTCTAGCGAAGCAAGGTAGGGTCCAGCACAAGAGCCCATATGAGCACTATGGTAAGCGGTATCAACCTTTAGCTTTCTAGCAAAAATACCCCGAGATTTGAATACTTCCTCGGCTTCGTTGACAGCATCTTCATCACCACTGAGGGTAACACTTGAGGCCGAATTCACTGCCGCAACCTGGATCCTGCCAACGAACTTTTCCTCTAAGCAAAAACTGCGTGCGTCTTCAACTGAAGCACCAACAGCCATCATGGCACCGCGAAGCGAATGAGAGTTAGGGCTGGACGCTAGTTGAGCGTGAACTCCACGGAAGTAGGCAACGCGGATTGCATCCTTTGCGGAAATAAAACCTGCTGCATATGCGGCTCCAATTTCACCGGATGAATGGCCGACTACAGCTTTAAACAAAATGCCAGCCTCTCGGAGCACATCAACGAGGATTATTTGCACGGCTGTGCACAGGGGTTGAGAGAGAGCGGCCTCTGCTATACGCGAAGCTTCTTTTTTTGCAAGAAGCTGCTCCTTAAGTGACCAGGAAGGTCGGTCTTTAGGGTCTGTGAGGCTCTGTAGGGCAGCATCTAGCTCGGATATGCGAGATGAAGCGAACGGAGAGAGCTCAATGAGTCGCGCCCCCATTCGTGGCCACTGGGCACCCTGTCCAGTAAAGATGCCAAGTATCTTTGCGGATGGGGAAACAACGCCGAACCTCATTCCAAGATCAGTACTATCTTTCCCATCGGGTGGGTTAACTAAGGTATCGATAGATTGAATAGCGTCTTGAACTGTCATTGCTGCGATAGATTTGCGGTATGGAAGCGTAGACCTCCTGTGCTGCAAGGTGTAGGCAAAATCAGAGAACTCTACTGTAGGATTTTCCTTGAGGTATTCAAGATGCTGAGAAAGCATAGTCCGGAGGGCAACTTCTGAGGCAGCCGAGAAGAGAAGAGGCGTAAATATAGGAGCAATGGGCTTTTGCTCTGGAATATACTGCTCCAAAATACAGTGGGCGTTTGTTCCACCGAAGCCGAAGCTGTTGAGGCAGGCTATCGTTAGTATAAGAGGCTCAAAGTCAAGGTAAACGCAAAGATATCCATCTCATAATTGACTTTTACATACCTGTTCACACTAGCCCTCCTCAGTTGTCCTTCCTTGCTAGGCCATGGCACTGGAACAGTAGGGATCTCCAGATGTTTGAAGAAGGGGGCAACTTTGGTACTCAAGTTTGCAAAATGCAAGTTGGGAGGAACGACACCATGCTTGAGTGCCATCGAGGTACCAATCACACTAGCCAGCCCAGCTGTGCCTTCTGTATGACCTATGACTGTCTTAATAGAACCAACAAGCAACTTATCAGCCTTCTGGTCGGCGTGAGAGCCAGTAGGAAATAAGGCGCTCGAAATCGCCTGAGCTTCTTGTGGATCACCAGCCTGAGTACCTGTACCATGGGCGTGAAAGAATTGGGGTCGATCCTCTAAGTTGTTGATAGGATCTAGTCCAGCTCTAGCATAGCACTCGCGGATAAGATTAGCCTGTGCGATATTGCTGGGCATAGTCAGGCCGGTGGTTCGGCCATCCTGGTTAACTGCTGTTTCACGAATAATGCATTCGATCGGATCGTTATCCGCAATGGCTTGGGAAAGCGTTTTGAGCAAAACTGCAGCAACACCCTCACCACGCGCATACCCATCTGCAGAAGCATCCCACATGGCGCAGCGACCTTTTGGGGAGAGCATCCCGAGATTACTTTCGGAGATATACATCGCTAGTGGGTTTGTAAGTTAGTACATACAGATACAACCAGATACTAGTACTAGGGGCACAATGGCCTACCTGGGCTCAATATCAGATTTGTTCCAGCAGCAACTGCCACCTTAGATTTGCCGCTTCGCAAGGCCTGCACACCGAGATCCAGGGCAACAAGACTACTGGAGCATGCGGTATCAATAGTCATGCTTGGACCGTGCCAATCGAAAAAGTATGACACACGGTTTGCTACAATTCCTCTCTCCAATCCTGTGGCAGTATATCGTGGCAGGGTCTCCCAATCGCGGGTCAACATGGTGCTCCAGTCATCCGACATCAATCCGACATAGACAGCAGTGTCAGAACCGCGCAGCTTCTCCATCGGTTGGCCAGCTGCACAGAGCCCATCATAAACGACTTCCATCAGCAAGCGTTGCTGAGGATCCATAGCATCCACCTCGCTGGGCTGGATGTTGAAAAACCCAGCATCGAATTTGGCAACATTGCTATTGTCTGAGTCTTCAAGCCAGTAGGATTTGGTGGCATTTGTGGTGCCATGGTGTGTGCCGACGGGGTGGTAGAAGGGGTCGATATCAAAACGGGAAGCGGGTGGCTTGCTGCTAAGGTCGCGGGGGTTATGGATAACAGACCATAGCTTCGAGGGTGTGTCAGCACCACCTGGGAAGCGGCAGCCAGATCCAATGATGGCAATAGGCTCGGGCATTGTGCTGATGTGTAGGTAGGACGTTGCGAGGGTAAGTAATATCTAAACGGATGGGGCTTTTGGTAGATCAAATATGATATATTCGACCAGATTAAAGCTTAGATGAATACTTGAATGATGAATTCAGAATCAGGTAAGACAAGAGGTAAGCCTGAAGCAGCGCTAGGAGATGAATCCTGCAAAGGCTATTGAAGAAGTCAGAAAGAGTAAAGGCCTCCCTTTGAAAGGATGTGCTTGTAGAAGGGTATTTCAAGTAATTCAAGTTGCCGCTTGGATATTTCTGAAGAATATAAATAAATCTCTCTAGAAGGAAAATTTCGACTATCAGAATTGCTAGCAGCTGATTTTCAGCTGCTATAATTCGGAAGTAGCATATCGAGTTCAGAAGGGCCGAAATGGCTTGTACCGAATGAGCATGACAAGTAATGTTTGGCCGGAATGGTCAGTTACATCTCTCACATTCGGAAGGTAGAGATATCAGAGTTAAACATGAAGCCCTTCTGTAAGGGCCGGATAGCTGTTGACCAGAAAGGAAATCGGAGAGAAACAGTCATGGAAAACTCGGAGAGATGGCCGTTGTCAGAAGTCGGTGCCCTTAGGTTCACTGCACGGGACTCCCCTCCCTGGGCTATGCATGGAAAAGGATAATCGAAAAAGTTGATTATATTCACCAAACACTCGGGAGATCCGACCAGGCATGAACATTAGACAGCGGGGCAGCCTTGTAAACGATTATAGATTGAGACATTATACCGAAGCCATGCAGCTCGGAAATCTTCGTTATACATACCACGTTTTTCCCAGGTGGGCACCTAGAAGGATGCTGCAACCTTTGCAGGGGTCTGAGGCTAATATTGCTATGTAGCGAATCGGATGGTCAAGGAGGTTTTGGGATATCGAAGTCTCTTATGCTGCTAAATTTTTCGCTTGAGTCTATATAGCCCAGAAGATGGTTTGCGTGATTAAGCTGAGGCTCAAGCATTAGTTCATTGTTACAAAACCAATCTCCGCTTTCGTTGCCTCGTCCATCTATGTATTTTGATATGTAGTTATTGCAGTATTATAACGGGTACCTGTGCAGGGAACGTGTTAAGGGTATATTCTAATTAACACGGAGGATGACAGCCGCCACACTATGGGTAAACCATATGCGTAGCTTACATACCATTTTCTTTTCTTTTCTCCATTTCCACTCGCATGGTTACTACCTAGGTCTATCCAGGGTCCCATATTGCCCCTATATGCCAGGGCATAGCCAAATCTAGGCATCGTTTCCAGAGGCTAGATAAAATCTCAATCCCCAAGGGCTACTGCTAACTTGTCATTCCAGGCCAATTCATTAGCATCCAATCGTCCAGCATTGTACCTCTGTCTAGAGTATTTAGGTCAAACGTAAAGTTCTGCTGGTCAGGAGGCGTGAAACTCCCTAGGAGGCCTGGCATGATAAACCTGTCGGCTATATGCATTGTCAATAGACTATAGTAAAGAAATACGGAATAATTCCCAACTTACGCTCGTAAAATCCTATACCAGTGTTACCTGCTAGCACCCCCCGTTTATCAACAGCCATAGGCCCTTCGCTGCCGTTCGTAGCATAAGGGCTTGGGTTGGCCAAAGAGTCCGTTCCTCGAGAATATCTACTTCTTTCCTCATAGCCAAGGTTGGCATCGTGGGAACGCCGTTCCCCTACTCTTGCCAAAACGATGCTCACAGTTTCCGCAGCCTTTTTAGCTTCTTGGGAGTGAGCACTTCTTCTCATCCAAATAGCTCTTGTTGTACGTAGCGCAGCAGTGATTTCTTCTTCTCTGTCCAGAGTCTTTCCCCGATGTAGCAATGAACAGAGTATCATTGTACCAGTTAAAAATTGGTGGTTCATCATAGAGGAAACACGCCAACGCATAGAGTAAAGCTGGCCTCCCTGGCAGGTCTCTTCATCAAGCACATGTTGAATGTTTAATGTTCCGAGAGAAGCATCTATGCAGGCGTTACATGAGTAGGTATACTTATCCTCCTCTCCTGACGGTGACTCCATGTATAGGAATCTACGATGGAGCATTATTTGCCCTTTGTAGAACATATGGCCAATAAACAGACGAGCCATGATCACCTGGGAGGAGTCAGTAACGCTGGCCGCCATGGGTTTCATCTTGAGCGGTGGAGGGATACTAGCTGCAGCGTCATGTAAAACACCATCAACTTGCATAATCTCTGCATAACCACAAGGTTTCACAGCATCGGTCACATCCGAGATTGCACCGAGTGCCATTAACATCCGTCGTCGGGCAATAATGCCCAATGCTGTGGTATGTTCGGTTTCTGGTCGAGGAGGCGGGAGTTCAGTTGAATTCTCATTTATGTCATTATCGTTCAAGTTCCGGGGTTCAGCAGTGTCGCACTTCCAGTCTGCAATCATTCGCGCCATTCCCATTTGGCTAGACACGAGAATGTCGCTCATAAGAACCGTCGCCCACACTCTGCGTCGCATCTCACCCTGTAATGGCGATATGCCAGGAAAATGACTGGGGTCCCGATGGTAGCCCATACGCATCGCTAGATTTACCTGAATAGCAAGCAGGAACCAGTTGTCCTTGCCAGCATCCGCACGAATGCTATACTCCACGTACACATACTGAATCATTGTCTCCAGTACGTATGGCCCAGAGTTCGTATATTCGCCAATTATAAGGCACTGAACTATTTTTTCACGATACAGGTCGACCTGGAGAGCCTGCTGTTCTGTTTCGTTGTTACTATACGAAGCGTCAGGTAGGTCTGAGGCTAGCACGGCAAGGCAGATCATGCCAAATAGAAGTCCGACCCAGATGATTGGGGCACCGGAGGGGTTATTCCAAAACGACTCGTACTATATAGGTCAGCTCAAGAAAAGAACGATTAATTTATAATGGAAAGAACTTGCCTGATTAAGGAAGCTTGGCCCATGGACAACGGCTTTAATACCGAGTGGGTTAGCATTGACATGCCGATTCTCGCTTCGTATAAAGTCACTTACACGAGGCCACAAGATCTAGACAATTGAAATAGCGTGAAATATAGCGATCCACCGCACTCTTGGGTGGCAGGGCAGCGAGAATTTCAGAACGTGAAGCTGGTCGGCGGCATCCATACAAAAGAAGCGCGTGGGGTGATCTTGGCTTACTTACCAAGTCACCACTGTGATCATCATGAGCGTCTGGGCTGTTAGCGAGTCTCAGCTGCTCCTCCCGGTCAAAGTGGTCCTTTAAATCAGCAATATTTTCTAGGATGGCAGCCCAATGGTCCCCGCCTACATAGCGTAGTTCTGACGCGCTAACCCGCATACTGCCACATTCAGAACGCCCATCAATTGGCGCATCTGCTGAGGCATTAGCACTATTTCCAGAGCCAGAGATAGGGACAGGTCCAGCTCCATGATCTGACCCAATGCGTGATCCTAATTCGGTAACAGGAACAGATGCTGTGGCAGTGGAGCTAAGGTTGGTTTTCTGAGATGGGTCAGACATAAGAGACATTACAAGACGCTCTAACTGAACCAGTCGATCGTGAACTCCGGGCGGTGCGGAAGCTGCTGTCGCTCCTACTATTGCGTGCGGTTTAGTTGTGAGTGCCGGATGGTTTTCCACATAGACACAAGTTTGCCCTCGCGATAAACAAGTAGAACATGGCTGCTGGCGGTCGCATCGCGATCTTGATATTGAAGTCGGTATTAGCATGCATTTGCCAGAGAAGCGACGTGGCAAACTCACTTGCGGCGGCGACAGAGATTGCAAGAAAGCTGGGGTTTATCTCTACGCCGGCTTGGTTTTGGGCGCGGCCTCGAGACACCATCAGTATCAGTCTCCTGAAATTCAATGGTTGGCGATGTGGCCATCGCGGACCCTGCATTGAATGGTGACTCCGGCATTGAGAGCTCAGGTGTAATGGAAGTGTTGACTTCTGTAACAGGCGTCATAGTATATTCAAGGGTTAGCAGAGGATTGATGAAAAGGCTCAGTGGGGTAGATAGCGCCCTCTAACAAATTTGTTTGACATCCGCAGGCGGGATATCATGAAGAAGGAAGCAAGGCTGTTCACCTATTTATCCCTCGCTGCGGCTGTGATCACCGTTACATCGGAGTTGTTTTAAAAGACGCTAGTCTGCTGCACGTCATTACCAGGATGTAGGCCCATTCAGGCGTCCAGATGTACTGGTTATGAGTGATCCTCATGCTTGTGCTGTTGGTGTGATAAAACCTGACGTTAACGTTGTTGTCTTTTTCTTTATCATCGATGTTGAAGGTTGGGAATTATCACGTGATAAACTAAAGACATATAATGTAGTCATGTGATATATCTCTAGGATATCTTTAAAGGTGCACGCTGGTGGATCTGGCAGAGAGAAGGCGAATCCCTAAATGAAAAGTATCAAACCAAGGCTCAGGTCGAGTCTCAGATACTAAATATCGAGTTTAACTCACTGTATCCCTCTCTCGCCATATCCTGATATACACGTCGGCCGTCTTGGCTCTTCTTTGCAGTTGCGCTTCTACCCCGATCCCATTAGCATCCGTATTCTTGTGCTCATAAATTGATTCCACAAATTGATTCTCTCTGACTGCCCATCCTGCCTCAGCCAGACAAGCACGTATATAAAAAGGCAAAACTTGGCGAACACGAGCTGAATGCTTGGCGTTAAAATAAAGCTTGTCTTGCCGAGCCTTGGCATACGTTAAAAAAGCTTAACTGAAACGCTAAACGGATCGTCCGACCGTCCGACCGTCCGACGCTCCTCTCCGATGATCCGCCGCCCCACTTTTAACGCGAGCTTTCCCATGTGTCGCGGCTCCACATGGCCCGTGGGATACATACATATGAAGGAGAGCCATGTTGGTGAGAGGACACGGATTTAGGCGCGATGGGGTCATATCTCCGTTGTCCTTGCTCTCTCTGTAGGGCCGGAAAGCGCTTTTAAACGCCTATATAAACTCCTTCGCTGTTTATTGCTTACGATCTTCCATCATCCACCAGCAATTCGTTTAGTACTGGCCGTTTAACGGTATAATTCTTCTCTAGACAACCGCCATTCTCAGGCTAAACAGTCAAGCTATTTCCTCAGCCGCACCTGGCGCCATGTCAACAGCAGATACCAGTACGGAGACTGTCCCGATAGAGGCAGGCCCAGTCGAAGAGACCAAGGTCGCAGACCCTGAAGTTGTTGACTGGGACGGACCAGATGACCCTGAAAACCCTCACAACTGGCCAAGCCATAAGCGGTGGGCGCATGTCGTTGTGATTGCAATTATCTGCCTAGTCATGTATGTATTATCTATTCAGGTGTTCTTGTTTATGGCAGTGCAAGGTGCCTCGTATCTAGAGACCAATGCTGATACGAAGTGCGTCTACCTGAACAGGAATATAGCGCCAACCATGTGTGCACCAAGCATCAACCTCCTCGTTGCGGAATTTAACATCCGGTCGTTTGTTGTCAGCACCTTTGCAGTAACGCTCTATCTCCTCGGCCTATCAGTGGGCCCTATGTTCATCTCCCCCCTGAGCGAGGTGTACGGCCGTCTTCCCGTCTACCACATCTCCAATGTTGTGTTTGTCGGCTTTGTTATCGGCAATGCCCTGAGCAAGAACATTGGCCAGTTTCTCGCTTTTCGTTTCCTCTCTGGCTGTGCGGGCGGTACCCCCATGGCACTTGGTGGAGGAAGCATCGCAGATGTCACCCCAATCCAGCGCAGAGCAATTGCTATGGCCCTGTTTAGCCTTGGACCGCTGACTGGCCCCGTAAGCCGCCCACTACCCCTCTAATACTGGTGTATGAAAAAAAAAAAAAAAAAAAAAAAAAAAAAGCAAACATACTAACCACGCTCTGTCACTAGGTTCTGGGACCTGTTATCGGTGGCTTTATCGCTGCTGGCAAGGGTTGGCGCTGGATCTTCTGGATCCTGGCGATCATCGGAGCTGCCGCCACGATTACCGGATTCGTCATCCTACGTGAGACACACCCTGGAATTATTCTCGAACGCAAGGCCGCCCGTCTTCGTGCATCCACTGGCAACCCACATCTTCGATCAAAGCTTGCCCGTTCCCTGTCACCACGCCAGCTCCTGGCTGGTGCTCTTATTCGGCCCACCAGGCTTCTTATTCGTTCGCCAATTCTACTAGTCATATCCCTCTATGTGGCTCTAGTCTTTGGGCTTATGTACCTACTCTTCACCACCTTTACCGATGTGTTCGAGGGTGAATATGGCTTCACTACTTCCACTTCCGGACTAGTCTATCTTGGCCTCGGAGTCGCACTGGTCATATGTATGTTCTTATTTGGCGCCCTCAACGAGCGTGTGCAGGCCGCGTGCCTGAGAGCCGATGGTGCTACACAAACCCGGCCCGAGTATCGCCTAGTCCTCATGATATTCTTCAGCCCGTTGGTCGGAGTAGGATTGTTTATCTACGGCTGGACGGTACAGTACAGAGTACACTGGATCGTGCCTATCATCGGAACTATGATTATGGGGTTTGGAGCCTTCTTCGTCCTTGTAGGTTTTCCTTCTCTTTGCCAGTTATCGCAAATGCTGACAAGATACTCAACCAAAACAGATGCCCGCTCAACTCTACCTTGTCGACCTGTTTGGTTCCGAGGCTGCTGCTTCAGCCCTGGGAGCCAACAACCTTATGCGTTATCTGTCCAGTACTTTCTTGCCACTAGCCGGGCCTAGCATGTATAAAACGTTGCACTATGGCTGGGGTAATACGCTACTTGGGTTTCTTGCCCTTGCCTTCGTCCCGGCTCCGATTTTCTTCTACAAGTACGGTGAATGGCTTCGCGCTAGAAACGTTGTTAAATTGTAATCAATGTTTTAAAAGGTGTGGGGATATCCTAACTCGAAGATGGGCTAAAAATGGCGTAATTATAGAACTGATTAACTACATCTTCATCCTTCTCCTCTGTTCCCTTTTCCCAAAAGCAAGTGGAAGACGGGAAGTGTTCCCAATTTAGATTGACGGTGCGCTGCCTCAGCCTATGGCATCTCACCCGGGCCCTACGTTGCTGTGATACAGAGAAGGCCATGTGTCTGAAAGTAATCAGATCCCGTAGAGGCACAAGAAGTGAGTCTCCCAACGGCTTCCGTAGTTGCAAATGCCTGCACGGCTCCCCCACAAGTTCACGAGGCGGATGTGCTAGGAAGCAAGTGCCGGACGACGACAGGCAAGTCCACCAAATGCTCCGTCGACTGACACTCGAAAGCCACGCAGGTAAGCATGGGAATGAAGGGGACGGCACCCTCGAGCCGCTCTGGTCCGGTCAGGGGGGCTGCTGGGCCATAGGCCACTAAATCCTTCAGGAGCGAGGCCATTTCCACATGAAGAGATCTCGACGCAAAAATATGGCATGCTTGAGTTCAGGACACGAGGAAGTTATGCAATGTAACAAGGACCAAAATCCCAAGCCTTGTCTGCGGTGGATTAGATAAAGCAGTTTCTCGCTTCTGCATCTATAGCTGAAGGCCTAAGGTAATGAGGATTGCGAGTGCCTGTGTGCATGGCATGCCCCTCGATTGGCCGTACGATCTCTATTTCCGGGCCCTATTAATAGTTCTAGAGCTTGCTGTCCCGCCGTGAGCGTCATCCTCAGGCGCAGAAGAAGAGCTCAAGCTGTTGCCTGCAATTTGTGCCTATATCTACCTGAACATAACCCATCCTCCCCCCTTTTTTTTTGATTCCGGTAACCAAAAACGCTTTTTGATAACGAGGCCAAACTTTCAACATAATTCATATATACATATACATATAACTACATATATACGGCAAGAATCAAAATCGTCTCGAGGAGTAGAGCGAGCTATTTCCTCCGTCGACGTGGGGAAAAAGAAAGAAGATACTCCCGTATTCTGGGGCTAGCCAACGGGGTCAAGCATTTCTGTTGCTAACCAGCCACTGCGTTGATCGACCGGAAGGCCCCGTGTTCGAGCCATGAGCACCAGCATCGCGCCTCCTTTGCGTGCATCGTGCGATCGTTGTCGGGCCCAGAAGCTGCGCTGTGTCCCATCTTCGACGGCGGACGCCACAGCGCCATGCCAGCGGTGTTTGAAGGCAAAGTCGCCCAAATCATGCATATTTAGCCAGCGGCTGCGGACAGGAAGGGCCGTGAAGAGCGCTGGAGTCGCAGATTCACGCCAGGCCACCCGTAGAGAGAAAGAGAAGTCGCCCGGGCTGCCGGGGATGAGTGCGTTTGCGCTCTCGACACCATCGCCCTCAGAATGCTCTGCCGTCGAGAAGCGGAACGTGGGTCAGGCGCACCGTGGACCGTCACGTAGCAAGGGCAAGATAGATGCAATGGATGTGGGATTCGAGGATGCAGTGCCGTCGACCGGTGGCGCGACAGAGGATCTTCTAGATGCGGTGGTAGATCTCTGGGACCATGGCAGCAATAACAACATAATACTCCAGCCTTCGAGCTTCGCTTTCGAGGCTGACGAGCTCAGTGCTTCACCAGAAATGTCAGACTATCCCTTCGATACAAATCCATACCTGGATACCCAAGATTTCCTTCTCCCTTTGCCGTATCCCACGCCTGTTGGTGTGGACATGGAGATGGACATGTTGATGGCGGAAAAGCCAGGCCCTCTGGTGGACCTGACGGCCCTTCTGGCGAAGATGTCACATTACGAGAGCCAGATATCGAAGCTACCGGGCGGCGACCTGGACAGCTATCCCATCGGAGATGCCCTCTTCCTCTCCCAGCGCTTCTTCACAGTGCTATCCGAACACGAGCAGGTCCATTCGATAGAAGCCTCATCACACCTCGACATGCCTACGAAATTGCTCACCCTATCCTGTTATATGACCCTGACACGCATTTTCTCCTCTGTTTTTGGATACCTATATGATCGCCTCTGCCAACTTCCAGAAGCAACTTTCCCTCTGGATAGCGGAACACACTCAGTTTCGTCCCTACCTGACATGCACGCCTACCGAGGACTTCGCCTGGGCCAGATACAACCCATCTGCGCTTGTGCGGGAAAGGAGTCGGCCACTCGAGTGAGAAAAGCAGTATCAATGCTGCTTGGGTCCCTCAGCGGTGCTGAAAGAATGCTTGGTCTGCCACCCGACGTGAGAGTAATGGCCAACGCTCATGCCGGCAAAGTGGTGTCCACTTTGGCCGAGCAAGGAGACGAGAGGATGATGGTTCTTGAGGATGGTCTGCTTATTGGTCTAGCAAATAGCCGCCTGCACAAGGTGGTGAAGGAGCAGGCGAGAGAGCTGCGAGGAAAGGTAGACGATGTTTACGAAGTTCTAAAGGGGCTCTTGGACGTATGAGCCGAAGCTGGATCAGTGGATATGTTCAAGAAGCGATTATGGGTTCACTGCTGTTTTATAGACACTCACCTTTGCTTGACAATAACTTTTTCATGATTGTATATGACCTGGTGCGCGTTTTGAGGTTTGTGAACTTATGTATATAAGGAGTCTTCTTCATATTAAAACTAAGGGACTATAACTTCAGGGGAAACAGGAATCAAATAGACGCCTTGATGCAGTACAGGCACATCCTACTATTAATTAACGCCTTTACCACGGTTATACTTCGTCCAGATTCCAAAGTGTGGCTTTGCCAGGATCTCGCATGCTTGCTGAACGTATTGTTGGTACACTCCTACGCCTGTTAAGAGAAGCCAGTATTCTGTACTCTATGCTGCGATTCATCGTACGATCTCGGAGGGCAGCCTGAAAGTCGGAATTTATAGCAAACATATTGATCAATTTGGATGTTCTCCGACTACAAAGTGTCCGGATATTCGGCCTTAGAGTTGCTCAAAGGGGTATCCTAGTTCCGATGTCTATACACGTAAATATACAGCGACAGCGCCAACCATGACTATAGATTGTGAAGAGTAGAATGAGGAGAACATTTATAGGCAATTAAAAAGCAATCTTTACTTTTCCCTTAATAGAAAATATATAGAGATATAAGGATGCCGCCGCAATCCGTCGTGATCGTAGGTATATTTCCCCCCTTTTGACTGAATCTATAGCTCACAAATTTCATCAAACCAAGGTCGGAGGCTCCGTTGCAGGGCTGCTACAGGGACTACAGCTCAAGCGCAGTGGCAGCAATGTCATCGTGCTCGAGCAAGATCCTTCCAAAGACCGACACAGCCATGAATCTGGAGTGTCAATCGGTCGGACCGTGGTACACCTGCTGGACAAATATGACGCTACTGGAAGACCAGCAGCAATCCCGGCCAAATTCCTGAGTGCTGCATGGCATAAGAGGCTCAGGGTTGTTAACACCCACTGGGCACACAGCATGAGCAACTGGGGGTGTTTATATTTGATATTACGCGCAAATTTCGACGGATTGAAATCCGAGACGGTCCCCAACCCACCAGAACCACGCAAAGGAGACGGCAAGGTCGAGTATTGGCCTGGGAAGAGGGCAGTTGGGCTGAAATATGACCGGGATGCGGGTAAGGTACACCTACAGTACGTAGACGTGACCACAGGCGAGGAGGCCACTGTCAGTGCAGACACCATCATTGCAGCGGATGGGGTACATTCGACCATTAGGAAGATACTCCAGGTACCGACACGCAAAGAATATGCTGGATATATTGGCTGGCGAGGTACCGTGCCAGAACGTCTTCTATCAGAGCAAACGATCGAATATTTCTCCAATCGACTTAACTTCACCGTGCTGAGCGGGACCTATTTTATAAGGTGAATCCTTTCTTTCATTATTTCCAATTACTTGCTAATCCTGGCTATACAACTACTTCATCCCTACTGAGTCAGGACATGTTGAGCCAGGCAAACGGCTGATCAACTGGGTATGGTATTACGTGGTACCAGACGGCTCTCCCGAGATGGATACCATCTTCACCGATATACACGGCAAGGTACACCCAAACACAGTCCCCCAGGGCCTCGTCAATCCAGGTGTCTGGGCCTCTCAAGTCGCACGGTATCTCCCACAGATGACTGCTCCGCTCGCCGAGGTGATCAGCAAGACCCCCAACCCGTTCGTGACGAAGGTGGGCGAAGCGCAGTGTTTCTCCCCTAGTTTCTACGACGGCCGCGTCGTACTGGTGGGTGATGCGTTCACAGGTTTCAGATCACATTTGGGAATGGCATCAGAACAGGCTGCTCGCCATGCTGTGCAGATGGACAAGGTGTGGAGGGGGGAGATGACGATGGAACAGCGTGATCGTGAGGCGATTCTCTATGCAAAACGGTTCATCCTGTTGAACAGGATGGTCGGATGGACCGGCCTGGGATGGGTGTTTGCCCTTCTCACAGCAGTGGCGAGCTATGTCTGGTTGGCCGTTGAGCAGAGCCTGGGTATCGTCTAGAACACTTTCATAGTTAACCAATTAACTGATATGACGTAGTATCATTAAGTATAAGTGGCAAATCATATTCATACCTACATAAATGACCAGAATTTGACGATAATAGGTGTGAAATTGGGAACCTCGAAGAGAAAGAAACATTAGTTAACCTGCCAATTAACGAGATGTCAGTCTCAATATGCCAAAAAGAGCATCATGGCTCCGACAAGCCCTCTGGTTCGATTGATAACCAGACTCCTGCAGGCTTAGACTTGTATCCCGTATTTTGCACCGCCAACATCCCTTCAAATGTATGTATTGCTAGTTTATTTTCTCTTCCTCTTGAAGTTCTTAGCAGGTACAAACAATCTTTTAGATACTTGATAGGTTCATCGATGAGTCTACCCAAGGATTTCTAGATCTCGTTGGCGATGATGGCTTCGAAAAAATGTCTCCCTGCATTGTGCAAACCACCGACTTGGACGCTATAACAGATGACTCTCATACGCCTATGCCTGAATTTGAGTCTCCATTTCTCAACTGGAGGGACGATGAAGTCCGTGATTGGATTATAAAGCATCCTCATCCTAACTTTGCTTCGACAACGTTTACTATCCTTGATCGGGGTGCGATTGAAAAGGGGTTATGCCGGATTGGCTATATTGACGAATGCTGCCCTGATGATAGGATGTTACGTCACTCGCCATATATCACCGTACCGCCATCTTGCCAAGAGTACCAAACTTAATATAGTAGTTATACCCAAAGTAATGTATCTTTAATACCTTTTTTTATTATATTTTTAAAAAATTAAGAAGCCTTTAAATTAAAAAAAGTTATATATAAAAAGGATAGTAAAGACCCTAAGGTATTAAAGAAAAATAGATAAGACCTACCTTTATATATAATATTATTAATATAATAGTAGTTTTAAATTTAACATTATTTAGGTATAGTCTATATATTTATATGGCGCTAAGAAAATGGTGCGGTGATTTCTGGCCTAGTACTGTATATACTGACCTTTATGCCGAACTCGTGGTAAGAGTGCCTATAGAGGTGGCTACAACAGATTGGGAAAAGCAGTTAGAGTCAGCCGAACTTGCAAATGGGGTATACGACCGAAAAGCGATCGAGAAAGAAAGGGAAAAAATTGGCTATGAGGGAGGAACAAGTGTTCATGTTAGTCAAGAGGAAGTTGAGAAGAAAAACCAGTGAGAGATGCTTTTCGGCCTGGAGATTTATAACTAGTATCGTTTGAACTGGAAACGAGTTTTCAGAGAGGGTGCCTCAGACGGCCGAGAATATAAGGGAGTACGTTCGAAAGTTCGGAGTAGCTGGGTTGACAACTACTGTTGAGAGGATCAGTGAAGGGACGGATAAGAGAGCCCTTCGAAAAGAAACAATCAGGCATCTGTCTGCTCCACGGGGGGTGTATATTGATGAGGAGCTTTCGGCCAGCTTTCGAAGAAGAGATCCGTTCACCGGAACTTGAATAAAAAGGGGCCTGAGTTTGATAAGAAAATGAAAAATGGCAAGATTTTATGCTAGAGACTTGCTGTATGGTGCAGTAATACACTGGAATGGTCTTATCTATATATGTATAAGACTCCCTGTCCGTAAGCCCGAATATGCGGATGTGGCCCGTGGGTAATTAAACGTTTAATTTAAGCTTCAATTAATGAATGGCTGTGATGCGCTAAACCCAAAGTAGTAAAAACCGGTGGGTCACGTGTAGATTACTCAGCAGACGTTTTTCCCAGCCACCAAAAACATCGAGATTGGCGATAGCAGTTTTCATCTGAATGGTTACAGAACGAGGAGGCTGGGGGGAGGCAGGGGGAAAAGGGGGTCCAGATTTTCCCTCATATATATCGCAGTGATGGTGTACATCTTGATTTCCTTTTCTTTTTTCCCTCTATTCTACATGCCAGTCCCAGCTTTGGAAATACTGTTTCTTCCAACAATTGTTTCCTTTAGGTACCGTACTATAGTTGTTTATACTGGATAACTAGTTAGTGAGTTCCCTCCTCCTATTCCTCTTCGTGGACTGTGCTACCTCCATGATACTGACTGCCTGACAGATATATACTGTTCATTATCCTTGCCTGATCTGGTTGTCATTCAAATACCATCCCGAGCCCATACATATCACACGGATTTCAGGGATATTCCATAGAGGAAGAAAATCGACAACCAAAACGTATCCGAGGAACTGCGCGGCTAATCGAAAACGAAAACAGAAAATGGTTCAACGAAACGTCACAATCGCCATCATCCTCATTATACTATTCTTTCTTCTTGCTGTTGTCGGGTTTATAATCTTCTACATCAACAGCCGCCTGGGCTGGTTTGCGAGGGCAAGAGAAGTGGACGAAGAACAATAACACTGGCTACTGCCTATAGATGTGATGGAGCGGCTTAACGACGCCACGAAGAGATTGGAAAGCCACTTGCACGAGGGGGAAAAATATTATGTTGATGCATTTATGGGAATCACGACTCTCATCTATCGAAGCTATTACGAATATGATCCAGGGCGTTATATTTTGCAAGGTGATCTGTTTTGTGTTTTAAGGAAAACATTGGTTTAGAGCAGGCGTCATATTGGATTGGATTTGGTATACGACTAGATAATAGGGCGACATCCATGTTCTTGTCAGAATAATGGATGAAGCGAATTGCGATTTTATTAAGTATGGGTTTCTAACATTATATACATCAATGCCTTTTTAAAATAACACACGAGTCTGGCCGTATCTAATACCTGTTTATTTAAGCTGGCGATCCTAAGGTATCAAACCTTGCTGCTGTTTGCTATAGCTAGAGCTGTATTAAATAGACGAATTTCTTATTAACGTGATTCTCGAGTATCTGGTTCTTGTGGGGAATACTGTGTTTTTGGGGATGCTTCCACCTTCTCAGAGCCAGCACTTCCATCTGTAGGACCAGAAGTGCTGGGCAGCCAAAGTGGAGGAGCGGGGCCTTCAGCTGGGCCTGAGGATTTAGCAATGTTTCCTGTTCCTGGGGGAGTAGATGGCGTGACAGAGCCGACTGGAAACGCAGGGCCGCGAGGAAGCGTCGGTGATAGGACTGAGTTGGATCGATTCTGAGGCGCTGAAAACGATTCGTGGGTCGGTGGGTGGTTCCAGGCGTACCTGGGTGACGAACTTCCTGGGCTAGAAAACCTGGTTGCGGGTTGTTCCTCATGTGGACGTGGTCGTTTTGGGGCCCGGAAATGTTCAGTTGATTCGTTGGCTTCCCTCTCTTCGTGGCGAGGTGAGTGTTTTACCGGAGACTGAGGAGGAGGGTGTCGTTGGTAGGGCTGTTGGGGTATCGGTGAGTTGGACAACGGAGGTGGCAGCTGGCTGCTTCTTTGCAGGGGCGAGGCCACCCGTGTTGAATAAGGCTGGCGAGGGAGGCTGTGCTGGTTTGTAACTTCTGTGTTGGTATTATCAAGGCCACCCACGCCGCTGCGGCCCATAGATCTATCATGCATGACAACACGCTGCCACTTAGCTACAAGATTATCGTAGTCCCATTTTGACGAGTCAGGAGAGTGAATCCTGCTATCGTGCCTGTCAAGTTCCCTGGCGACATCTGGCGATATTGGTAGTAAATTCGGGGGGAATATCGCAAATTCTCTAGGCCACTGGCAAGACGCGAGTTTCTCGACCTGTGCACGCAATTGGTTCGCTTCCTGCTGTGTGCGGTGCAACTGGGCCTCGATCTTCTTCCTTTTCTCGGCCTCTCTTGCAAATGCTCGTACTATCTCTAGATGCCATAGCTCCCGTTGAGCGACAGGGGAAAGCTCTATCCAATTCTTCAACGATAGGTCCAGGTGCCGAGGAATCGTTTCCTCATGCTGATAGGCTATCCTTTCGACCATGCTCGCATCTTGGCTTGATGGCTGGGTTTGATATGACACTGGCGTTGACGCAGTCTGTGTTGGCGAGCTAGCGGCAGCCAGCTGGTCATATTTCCATTGGTGGACTTGAGCGCGCAACGCTTGTTGTACAATCTCTCGCTGGTTCGCGCTCGGAGGGTCAATGGGGAAGGAGTTCGGCGACGGAAACGGATGTGTAGAAAAGAGGCTCGGAGGATGCGGTAGAGCCTGAAGGCACAGGGCAGGAAACGTCTGTGACTGGAGGTCGAAGTCAAACGGAGAGAGCGATGGCGTATGGCTGCTGCTATTTTCCGTCTTAGAAAACAAAAAAAGGGTGGCTTGAGGTATAACACCATCACAGGGCAACTCAAGACAAACTTACGCTGCTGCTGCTTTCACGCTATCCAGGACCTCTCTCAGGGCCAGTTCCAATGCCCTGGTAGTCTCCGTGGAGCTCGAGCTGGTCAACCGGTTGGACCTCTCCAGAGAAGTTGAAGGAAGCCGCAATTGCGAAACCGGCGAGGAATTCGGAATGTCGTTGATTACGCCGGTAGAATGCCATGTTGGCTGGTTGATGAAAAGGCGATATCCCTTGCCCCCCGAGGGGCCTGAGTTGAGCTGCAACGGAGCAACAGAATGCGGATCTAGGCCTGCTGCAGAGGCGGTTGCGGCCGCAGACCCAGACGTGGTGGCCTCAGGGCTGCCCTGCTTTGTCCCACCGCGAGCCGTCCGTCGAGTGATACTGCTGCGAAGCTGCCTGATTTCTTCCACATTGTGAACCCCGTCCGGCTTCTTCTTGTACAGGTACTGGTCCAGATGGCGGCCAAGGGAGGACGAGGTGAACGTCTGGCTGCAGTAGGGGCACTGTTTGTTCTTGACGGCCAGGGCCTTGGGTCCTGCAGAAGCCTCACGCTCGCCTTTGGAGGCATTGGACTCCTTCCCATCCTCCGCCCGAGCGGGAGATGTCTCGTCCATAGCTCTAAACCACCTGTTTCATCGAGGAAAGAGAAACGTTTTAAAAAATAAAGGAGAACGGGAAGGGAGTGTAAAAAAAAAAAAAAAAACGCGAAGCTGGCGCGACTTCGGCAAATCGGGTGGACAAGAGCTCACACCTGTCGCAAAGCTGTTAGCTACATATTATCCAGATCTTGGAGGGCCTTCTATGCTCTCCGTTCTGAGGCCCGCGGAGACGACACGAAGTGTGTGTACTTACCAGCAACAAGGCGCGCGACAAGTTTTGCCGTGGGCGCATGCAAGGCTATCGCGATGCGTATATAGCAACCCGATTTATCACCAGCAGGAAAAAGCAAGCAAGCTTGCTAGCAACAGAGAAAGAGACAAGGAAAAAAGGCTGAAAAAGCATAAAAACTCAACCTGCCAGGATAAAAAGAATTGAACCCATCAGGGGAGAAAAACAGAGCAAAATTGGCCTTCTTGTTTTTTTTTAAAAAAAAAAATAAATAAAAAAAAAAATATTGGGCTGAGAGAAGCGCCGGCGGCAAAAATGAAGCCGAGGAAGAAGAAAAATTTTCTTTCTATTTGGAGATTCAAAAAGTATTGGACGAAGAAGACCAAAAAGGATACGTTGACCAAAATAGTTTATGAATATACAATAAATAATAAAATATACAAGGGGAAACAGAGCTTGCTTCTGCTGTCGTTGAGAGAAGAAAAAGAAACAAGGAATATACACAGTAGATGTATATATGCAAGTACTCCAGGCCAGGTTGAAATAAATGAGTCTCTCCCTCTCATGTCTGTTTCTTTTCTTCTTCGTCTCTTGAGTCGTTTAACAAATCGGAATCATAAGGGAAAAGTCCCGCGGGTGAGGCCGTAAAAGCCTGCCAGACATGGTGGAAGAAGAAATTCGCTGTCCAACGCTGGCGTCTCTCTTCAACCACAGGGAAGCATGAGAAGGCCAAAACAAAAAGAAAGAAAAAAAGGTCTGCAGAAGACGTGACCGTTTGGGCTTGCTGGACCTTTTTGTGATGTGATAGAGCAATTTCATAGTGTGTTCTATGCAGAACTCAGGACTTGACGGGTCCGGGAATGTGTAGCCAGGGGGATCCCTGGTCGAGGAGCGGCGATAAGATGTGTGCTGTGAGCGAGGAATATGCATATGCAGGTGGACATTTCACTTCAATACGGCTCCACTGGCGGAAAAAAAAAAAAAGATATCCAGTGGACTCCTTTCCCGCACTGGCTAAACACCGCCATACGCTGTGCTTGCGGGTATGCTTTTTTTTAGGGGCTGGGCATGCATGGGAACGATGCATATCAACCGAGTTCGTGCCTGAGCGCGTCCGCGATCTGCCCCAACTTCGAACTTGTATCGTGCCCTCCTGGCGCCGGCTGACGAACCCTGGTGGCGGCACTCTGTTCGGGATTTTCCGTCACTTCAACTCCCCAGCCTTCCGAAGCCGCTTTGTCGTGGGAAAGAAACGAAAAAGAAGGGCCGTCAAAGCACAAATGGGGATTGGCGCTTAGGGCGCCATTTCACTACTGTAGTATGGATAGCGTGTGGAAAAGGGGGGTCTTGAGTTTGTGACCGCAAGGCTTTGTGAAGTTGGAAAGACAGGGGGGAAAGAAAATAGAACCTGGCTCATCGCTTCGTCGATACCCTCGGCGACCCCGTTCGGCTCGATCGTGGGGTTGCTTGCTTTTCATTCTTTTCTTTCTTTTTTCCCCTTCCCGTGGGTCCATGATTCCATCAATAGAAAGCAATGGGATCGCAGATATGCACATATGCCCGAGTTCGATGCGCCGGATGCCCTGGCGAGGAACTTGTGACGGGTTACACGAGGAGCATATAGTGCTGTACGAGGAACGGACCAGCTGTGTGTATATATTTAACCTGGATCGTGCCTATCATTGGCACAGATTCATCGATTCACGCACAGCGTTCTCCCTTGCACGACCGAAAGGCCTGCATCAAACGGTGCCGAGGCGGTACTGTTGCTTGCACCAGATCTGAGGAAGATTTTATACGGAGAGCATGTACCCCACGGAACCCCCACTCTCTTGCTCCTTGGTCTCGGTGTTGGACGCAGGCCTGGATGATATATACACCCTGACGTACAGGTATGCTCCTAGTAGCGTGGAGGCATGATGAGCAAGGTGAATCACCTGTTTATATACAGCATCCGTATTTCTGCGATGGTAGTAGAACAAAACGCCCCAGTTGGCCGTCTGATGCCTCACATGGCGGCTTGCAACGTCGAATTTTTAGGAACCCAAGTTCCCGCTTCTCCCAGCCATCGAGAATGCTTCCATGTGAGCGGCTAGGTAAATCTGCCAGCCCCTGTGACGTAATTCAAGTTCAGTCGATTGGATTTGTTGGCTTCATCTGCCTCACGTTTAAGTTGACTCGTTTGGCAGCCATCCAACCCTTGCACTGTTGGAATCTACCATCTTCGCTAGCATCTCCAGGCCAGTCTCGCAACCAAACCGGACAGGTATCTGGGATGATTCTGGGAACACCGTGCCAAGAAACCCTGGACGCACCGCCCATGTATACCGCATCACCAGAGCGAAGCCTGATGGCGGCAAGGTTAGAATTATCAGTGTGGCTGATCGTGAATAGCCCTTCACAGCCAAAACTGATACTGATCAAGCCGGTATCACACTCCTCGCTGACGTCTCTGTGAATGTGCAGCGTGTCTCCGGGTGAATAGACGTTTACGATTGCCGCCTCGGGCTGGGTAGCAGGAAAAATAGTCTGTAGAAGATGGGATATGTCCAAAGGGAAGGGAGGTGGTGGGCTAGCAGGGTAACGCTTCTCGGACCAGTTATACTGTCCACCAAGCGTCATCCACCGGAGCTTGCGGCTCAATATGGATTGAACCGTCAGTGGTGAGTGGATGGAGCTGTCCTTGGGTAAGATTGAGCGGCTCAACGAATCCTCGAAGAAGGATGGCCTGTCGGTGGCATTTCCGACCCCAGACAAACACGAAGCGTCTGGGTAGGTGACGTTATAATGCAGGTGGAGGTTGGTCTGGTGTCGTTGGTCGGACAGGTCACGATGGAGTAACTTGGACAGCAGAGCTCTTTGGACCTGCGGCGGGAGAATTGACGGGATAATCTCAAGGCCTGTCCAATACAAATGTTAATATTCTATCCCATATTGACGAACTGACATTGCTGGAGCTGCACACTAACCAGGGATATCTCGATGTGTATATACCGGGAGTGACTCAAGAGGCGCCTGTGGTGCATCCTGGGCCACACATCCCCCTATAAACCTATCAAAAGCAGTCCGAAGTGATTCTAGATCGAGCCATCTGTCTAGCGATATGCCATCAGCAAGACCTTCACTGTGAGCGTCTCTCTGCAGGTCGATGATGGCGGGGTGGGAGTCGATATCATAGATCTTCAGCGAGCGATACGCCTTGTACTGCTGTCGCAGCCTGGCAGGAGGGTGTTCATGGGCATCAAGGCTGCTGATGGCCACCATCCCCGACGTCTGTCGCCCCAGCAGATCCTCAACTTCTTCCTCTTCTTCGCCTTTTCTTCTATTTGATCTTTCCCTCTCGATTTTGATCTTTTTTCCCTTTTTTATTTCTTTTTTTTAGGTTTTATTGAATTCTGCTTACCTTATATTCAATATCACGTGACATGATGATTAATGAATGAACTAAATGTGTGATTGGCGAAGTTAGCTAACTTTATAATTGGCTTATTATAACTAGCATCGCTTTCTATTGGTGGAAAGACGCGTCGTCTTTGTTTATTTTTCTCCAAAAAAAAGTAGAAAATCAACATCAAGAAAAAAAAACCGCCACAATAGAAAAGAAGAGAAGAGTCGATTAGCAACAAAGAGAAGAGAAAAGGGAGAGACAGAGAGAGACAAGCGCAGACATCAGAAACAGAGATCAGAGAACCAGCCAGAGAACCGTCATGGAATGACGTACAGAAGAATAGAGAGATCGATAAACCCCTCCACCGTGTTTTCCTCCCACCCCTGAGACAGCTTCACCTTGCTGCCCATCCTAGCTCCAATAGCGCCACCACCCCTCTGATTTCAAAATAATACACGAAACCCGCGTTATTTTATCTTGTCGTCGGCCATTAGCTGAGAGTGGTCTAACAAATTGGGCATCTATCTCTTTTTTTGACGCAAACCCGCTCCTTGTTTGCCCTAGTCTGCTTGGTGGAGGACGGCTGTTATCGAGCAATAGAAAACAAAGGATACAGGATGGAGAACTACCAGAAGATAGAAAAGATTGGAGAGGGTACGTCTGACATATGTATATATCTGATGTTCAGGAGTAATTCTGGGATTGCTGACCTGCTAGCATATAAGGAACATATGGTGTTGTTTACAAGGCTCGAGACCTATCCAACCATGGCCGGATCGTGGCTCTCAAGAAGATCCGTCTAGAGGCCGAAGATGAAGGTGTACCCAGCACCGCAATCCGGGAGATATCTCTGCTCAAGGAGATGCACGATCCGAATATCGTCAGGCTTCTCAACATCGTCCACGCAGACGGACATAAGCTCTACCTCGTCTTCGAATTCCTCGACCTCGACCTAAAGAAGTACATGGAGGCTCTGCCTGTGAGTGAGGGAGGCCGCGGGATAGCCTTGCCAGATGGATCACTGGAGATGAGCAGGCTGGGGCTGGGCGAAGCAATGGTGAAGAAGTTCATGGCCCAGCTGGTGGAAGGTGTACGATACTGTCATACCCATCGTGTGCTCCATCGTGACCTGAAGCCTCAGAACTTGCTTATTGACCGGGAAGGTAACCTTAAACTTGCTGACTTTGGCCTCGCCAGAGCCTTTGGTGTGCCTTTGCGAACGTATACACATGAGGTGAGTACTCGATTGGCCGCAGAATGGGGGATGGGTTTCTGACATGGCGGGTATAGGTTGTCACGCTCTGGTACCGTGCCCCTGAGATTCTCCTGGGTGGCCGTCAATATTCTACGGGTGTCGATATGTGGTCTATCGGTGCCATATTTGCTGAAATGTGTACCCGCCGGCCCCTCTTCCCTGGTGACTCAGAAATCGACGAGATATTCAAGATCTTCAAGTATGGCAGCTCGCCCCCTCGCTGAAGCTACCATGCCCACTTTTACGCTAACCATCTTTGCAGACTACGAGGCACGCCCAACGAACGTATCTGGCCAGGTGTCACATCTTTCCCTGACTTCAAGACATCGTTCCCTAAGTGGAAACGAGAAGATATCCGCAAATTAGTTCCCGGCCTAGAAAAGAACGGCCTTGCACTGCTAGATGCGATGCTCGAATATGATCCCGCACGCCGTATATCGGCCAAACAAGCCTGCGTGCATCCTTATTTCCAGGCCTGTAGCTCTGCATACTCAGGCCGTGGCCGAACACCGGTTTACCAATGATTTTACGAAATGATACCTCTCTTTCCCATCATTTGTCCTTCTCTGCTTGCGTCTCACTCATTTTTTATTTTCTATCCTTGTTTTTAACGCTTAGAAGCAACTGTCTCTCCCAGCCCTCTTCTCTTTGCCATCCACTTCAAACTATCATACTTGTCTCTCACCTGGTGGATAGCTGCTGGTATGGGATATATGATGCTTATGATAACACAGCGACTGTACTCTAGCACTCTGTTATTAAACCCAAGTCTAATCTATACATCGCTCTTTTGACCGTCGTCTAGGTACCTATCATGAAAATATAGTGCCCTGTATGTAAGTTAACCGTCCCCCATGCTTGGATGTAAAATATCAATGGTGTAAACAAGAAACACAAAAACATTAGCTGTCTTGGCGTATATATTTCTGTATTCACATGTATTAAAATATCAACCATCTTGACATCAACTTCTCAAATTCCATCACACGTCATGGCGCGATGCGCCCATCAGTCATCTCTGCTTCTACGGCCTTTTTATTCCTTCACAAGAACCGCATAATTCTGAGCCGGCACATCAAGCGCAGCCTCTCCAATGCGGCTGCTTCATACCTCCGTGAGAATGTCGTCCAAGTACCAGTCGGCAGCAGTGGAAACATCACATTGACGTACGTATCCGGCCATTAAAGGCTTGTTTATATGGTATCCAGGATAGAATATTAGCTTACCTGCCCGTGTAGTGTTCTGTCCCCCATTGAAAAGCCAGGACCTGATCTCTCGAACCTCATAGTCTATCTGCCTCCTGGCCCGTTGTTCGACACCTCACGGTATAGAAGAGCCTATGGCTCCTCCAGTACAAGAAGACACAGCTCTGGCGTTTCGAAAAAAGGGTCTTCCTCCCTTCTACCAGAAGAAAGTCTCGCGATAACAACCTTATCCACTACCGTTGCGGTAAAATACCGTCTTGGAAGGGTACAGGTGGACGGGAAGCAGAAGACTTATAGATATCCTACACCGGTGCACGATACGTTGGCAGGGCTTGACTGGGCAATGAATGAATTCCAGCCGGATAATGTCTTTGTTTTCGGGAGACATATAGGCGGCTCATTAGCCATTATGCTGGCTCTGACAGAAGCTCGAGGTCTAAAGGCCGTTGCTGCAGAAGAGCCAGTGTGTGACTGGGTTGGCTTGGATGATTACTGCATTACGGATATTGAAACAGATGGCAAACTTAGAGCAGCGCCGTATGCGGAGGAATCGGAAATAGAACAGGACAATGAAGCAGATACCAGCCCTAATGCACGGAAACGTGGCCGCAAGAAGAAAGAACCAATACCGACACCGTCAGACCTGGTTCCCTTGCTAGACGCGAGACGAAGATTATTTCCAACGCCAGAGAAATATTTTGATGCTTTTGCTTCACCAACGCTATTCCTCCGGACATCAGGGAAATACATACCTCTAACGTTCCCCGTATATCTCACCGGACCGGAGTATCCTAGTCCTGTGCTGAAACGGCAGCCCAAGACTGAAGCTGACGCGTTATATATGACAGATTTACTTTCATCATCGCCTGCTAGAAGCTCGTCTTCAGGGAGTACGTGTGAAGGCTCAGAGGTGGCAGCCAGCGAACCACCTCTCACATCCCTGATTAAACCTGTGCGTAAACGAAAGGTCCTATCTCGTTGGCCACCGTCTGGTTTGGATTATGGGCTGGAAGCATACGAATCAAAGAACAGATGGGTGAAGCGAGAGGAAACAGTGCTTCCGGATGTCCGGATATTTGTCCACGATCAGGACGCGCAAGCAGCACGAATGGAAAACCAAGGCAATGCCACAAACTCAGGCGAGGGTAGCGGCGGTGATGAGGGCCTTAGCGCGCAGATGCAAGCTGCTAAGCTGAATGACGTCCATAATGAACATGGAATGACGACCCAGAGTCTTCCATCAGAGCGTAAGCCACGTTCATCAACTCGCTTTCGAGGATCCCTTCGAAATATCGGAAGAATAAGCGGTGATACGGTGTTAACTCGCCAAGGCAAAGAGATGGTCTCACTCATGCATAATGCATGTTTCTGGGGAAGAGAAAAGGGGGCTGCTGAACGATGCGTAAAGCTGGTTCCGATAGCAGCCCACGATAGAAGCCAAATACCACGCCCTACTGATAGTGAGTTACATACAGTAGACGCAACTACAGATCTAGATTCCATTTCTCAGCAGTCTCATCCTGTTGAGGTACAAGCTGGACGACACTTTATGGATCTTTTGCGTAATGATACGTCAGAGTGAAACTACGAACAATATTCCGGGCGATGCATAGAATAAGTAAAACATTTTTTTGGGTATCTAAATGCTAAAAATAAATAGTATACACAACAAATGCCGCCTTTAAGGCGATGAAATATGAAATAGCATGTTTCTCCTTAAATGCTCTGACCTAAAACATAGAACTCCTTTTCTTCAAGAGTGTATTGGTTGGAACGCTACTCTCTTTTTTTCGGAAGCCAAATATACTCCGTTTCTCTTTTAGCTGGGCCGGCGGTTGCTGTGGTGGCCTTAATCCACCAAGGACTGACTGTGGTCTCGGAGGAACGAATTGCACTTGTGACTGTGCTTGGGCCTGGCGTGGCGGCTGCGCTGGCCTGGGAGCAGGTGGCTGCCTCTGTTGCAGCCTATGTACCTTACTCTCTTCCTTACCGTATATCTTCTTTAGCCTTTCGGTCTCTTTATCAATCTGCGCTTGACGCTTTCTGGCCTCCTTTTCTTCAGCTTCCAGAAGCTTTTTGGTTTGTCTTTCGGCTTCCTTGTCCTTTTTGAGACGTGAACGCTTCTCTGCCTCATTTTGCTGTTTCAACGCGTGGGATTCAGCGTCCAGCTCCCATTGCGTGCGGGGGTCAGCAAGGGGGATATTTTGGCGGGGAGGCTCAGTAGCTCGCTGGGGAGGCCGTTGAGGGAGTGTCTGGGTGGTCAGCTGGGTTCTTGGTGGATGGCTAGCGACTGGAGGCTTAATGGTCGCGCCATTCAGGGGCCTTGAAGGCACAGGAGTGGTTATTGGTCTGTCTATTGGGCTTGCAGGGTTTGAGGAAGGGTGAACGACATTAAATGCTTCCTTCATCGGACTGAAATATACATCTCGGATGACCATTGCACCTAGCATAAGAACAATCTCTAGCCCCTTGTAATCTTCCATCTCAACTCGAGAAAAGTTTGGTTCGTACAGAGTAATTTCCTTAAATGCGCTGAAGATGGCGACAGTTATGTCAGGTTCCCGGTTCTTCTTCGAGTTCCCACTTGGACCGATAACTTTCCCCGATAAGTAGCAGCCGAGCTCCTTAGAGCCCATTCTACCGTCCTTCCGCCAATTGAAACGTAATCGGGATGTCGCATCTGATGTTGCGGGAGTAGTAAGCGTCTTATCGAGTTGCGACTTAGAGGGCTCCCGGAAGGTCCTCTGTGGCATCTCAAACCCCCATGTTGCTGGTGTATTCCATGTCTTGGGTTTATGACGGACCATAATTTGTTGCTCGGGGTTGTATAGCTGAATAGTAAATTCGGTGGGCATTATAGGCTCCGGCGGCGGCTGCACTCCGCCATTCGCCCTGATTGCCTCTTGAGAAAAAGTAGGGTGTGTCCATTTAGGAACTATGAGCACCTCTCCGTATAGAGCATCGGGGCAGAAGGCATCATATAGGGCAACCGCGTATCGATTCCGAGACGTCTGTAACGTAGGGTCTAGATGCCGGACAGCGTACGCGGGCTGAGGCTCTTTTCCATGCTGAGCGACAAAGAGGGTTGAGTGAGACTTCGGGTTTTCCGAAGATCGCTTCACAAAGAATGCTAGAACGAGTCAGCATCGAGAAAACAAGGTTATATAAGTGTTGGATCTCATACTGGGGAGGTTCTCATCGAGCATCCTGGCAGGTTCCCTCGAAGTTGATCGCTACCAATGTCCGTCATGAACCAGTATATAGAGACCACAAGTGAGGGAATATTGTTGTCTCTTCAGGCGTACTCTATAGTATATCTATTTATCTTGTTAATATTTATCTAATATAATATCAAGATGTTGTGTTAATGCTGCGGCCTGCGAGCTTCGTCTGCGCCTGCGCGTCATGCGGCTTAGTCAGCCAGCCGCACCCGGCTTGGCACTCAGGTTCTATTCTTAGCCACCAGAAGCCACGCAATTATCCGTCAGCAACAGTGACGAATATCTCCCCGCCATGGTTATGGGCCTTGTTTTGGGCTTGAGTCATAGGCAAAGGGGCTAGATGCCCTTTGGCGGAATATATGATCTGCAGGATGATTGTTGAATGTTGATTTTGGAAAACTATATACTATTTCACGAAGCTAAGAGATGATGAATTGCTAACGAAACATTGTCATTAATTGCATATCATAACCCTAGTCTATCACAGTAAAGCATAAATCATGGCAAGGATCACAAGATAGTCGATATGGAAAAAAAAGATCACTGAAGAAGAGGATCCTATAGGGATGTTAGCAAGGCAAAAGACATCAAGATAAAAATGACATACCCTGAAGTGTTTCTGACTATTGCCTCCCTTATTGATTTTCCATTCATATTGCCGTTGAGACCTGTCTGCTCGTCTACGTTCCCTCACCTCAGCTCCACGGACTTCCTTTTTCTGGCTCTCTGAGGCCCCGATCATGCCCAACCCGCCATTAGCCCTCGACATCAGCGCACGGTTTTTGTTTGCATTGCTCGTCTGCCCATTCGCTCCATCTTCCGCATCAGGGCCTGCATCTTCGATCATACGCTGCTGAGTAAGGCGTTCCTCAGGGGTAGGGTAGTTGTGCAAGTTCTGGCGGAAGTATTTGGCCATAGACCGGTGACCGGCAGTCCGGCCCGTGGGCAGGTGGAGCTCACCGTCATGTACGAATGCAGCGTGGCCGTGGACATGTGCATGGGAATGGAAGCCATCTATATTACGATGTCTGCGGGGATCTGTGTTTGAATGGTGTGAATGCTTGGAGAGTTTGGAGTATTGATGTGATCGATCATCGATGGGTTCAGCGCCGATTTCATCCGAGTCGAGTGACGAAACTGAGGTGTCCGTCTCCCATCCATCTTCCTGTGGGTTTTTGCCCTCTCCTTCTTCCTCTACCCCTTCCTCGTCATCAGAGTAAGTGCTTGTAAAGTCGTAAAACTGGCCAATTTCGATCTGTTCTTCCTCGGTCTCAAAAGCAATCATACAATGACCCTTATCTCTCATATGCGTCTGTACGGCTTCTGGAGTCGCCTTCAACTTATGGCAGTATAAACACTCGCCGTTCTTGTAGATCTTTGCCTGTAAGTATTCAAGAAGCCCTTTTCCGTCGGTGAGGTACTCTTGCTCAGGGACAAACATGCCATGGAATTTACCCATGTGCAATGCGTTGAGTTTGATGTTGGGCGAGATGTAGTTGCAGAAGAAGCATTGCGTAAGAGGGATTTTGACTTCGCTCCCATCCTTATTAGCTAGCGTAGACTCTCCTTGTTCCTTTTCAGCGGGATGGCTGGGGCGACGGGGTCGAATAGGGAGTGGATCGTGTGTATCGACTTTTGTGCCCTTAATTCCGTTGATAATATCTGAGAATTCCTGCTCACCAGGCTCGGCTTCACCATCACCTGCTGCAGCTGTTGGTTCGTTAATCGGGTCTCCCATTGAAAAAGTACCACTCATTACCGACGCAGTCTCATCTTTCCCTTCATCTTTACGTAACATGGCCTGTCTTTGCCTATGCTTCTGGCTCCCAATATGGTTCTGGAAGGCATTCTCGCTATAATACGTCTTCTGACATGCGGCACATGACTTTTCAAAGGTGGCTTTGGCAGCGGCAGCGGAGTTGGATGCCTGGGCATTCAACACTTTATCGGTGAAGACCTCGGACGATATAGGGGGCAGAGTCGCGACTCGACGCTTCAGGTTGTATCGACTATAATATCAGCTGGTTAGGCCTAGTATGATCCAAGAGTCTTAGTTCCCCGTATGGGGACTTGTAGAACTACTTACTGCCAGTCACTCCGCATATGGCCTCTCTGTGCATCGCTGCTGCGGAAAGCCACTTGGCAGGTATTGCAAGTGTACGGATGAGTCTCCATCTTCCTGGCAAACTGTGGGTTTATCGCTGTCCTTTTCTGATTATCGGTTGGCGGGGTGTCTTGACTCTCTTCTGAACAACGATGAGGTCTGTGAAGGCAAAGGAATGGTTATAGAAAGAAAACAAGACCAGCAGGAGGCGGTACCTATATATACCCTGTAATTACGTAGTACTCTGCAAGCCTTCCTCCTCAACAGACAGGAGTTGCGGTTGATATCAAATTCTCTTGCCTTCTGACTACCAAGCGGTTTTTTATTTGTGAGGCGAAAAAATGAAATAAAATAAAATAAAAAAAGCCAATGATGACGTCGTGTCGATCTATTTCCTTACTGGGAATTAAGACTATCTTAATTTCGACTTTCGACTTTCTGAACGAGCAAAAGGAAACAAAACGCAAACAAAAAAGACACAGATAAGATCCACGAAGTAACGGCTGGCGAAGATGCTACGACTACGTGAATAAGTCAAGGAAGCCACACCGTGAAGAACTGGAGGCCTACGAGAAGCTGGATATGTCATATCGTGAGACAAGATGACGAGGCTTCAAGGGGCGTCGCATAGTGAATGCGCAGAGAGGACTGCTTATCACCATGCAAGACTACCGCCAGGAGCACCAGATGTGATCTCTAGACATACTGTTAATGTTTCTGACCCTTCGAGAGTGCTTTCTTGGGCCAAAGAGGAGCGACAGCGGAGCTTCAATCATCTCGTCAGGAGGTTAGCCCCCAGTTCTCGTTTCATCATTTTATACTTAACAAGTTGACTCCTTCACATGGTGTCAGTATTTCTATATCTGTATTTATTGCTAATGATTTATATATAATGGGATAGGTACAAAGCCCAGTTGCTCTATGGTTGCCAGGAACCGAACTGTATGACCCCTACGTGTCTAAGCTTCCGCCGCCGAAATACCAAAGCCCCGCTCCGCAGGTTTACAGATCTCAGTGCTAGGACAGTTGCGTGCTACCTGGCCAGTCAAGATGATGCAGAATCTGGGCTTTGTCACTACCCGTCAGCGGCGATGCCAAACTCACTTGCCCCGGAGATTGAGCGAAGAGTTCGGCAAACCGATTCTTTTACTACGGTCGAATCCGGCCACTCACATTCACATCACAGGAGACACAGTGTGTCGGGAAATAAACCAAAGAGGGCATCTAACTCCGCTCCAGTTGCATCGGATGCTCCGCAGGGAGCTTCAGACAGCGGCTCAAAAACGAGGAAAGACCCGAAGTCATTTACACAGAATCTTTTTGACACCCTGTCGCTGCGTATGGTAGAATGGCTGCCTCTTAAACGAACTACATTCTATGGCTCTCGATCTAACGAAGAATCGAATTCTACTCCAACTGCTTCACATCTAGAAAACCAGAAACCAAATGTGAAGCGTCATTCGCCTATTGCGACGTCTGACGATACGGGTGGCTCTGACTCCAAGGCATATCTATCATCTACCCAGTCATCTCCTTCAATGAATCACATTCCGTCAACACTAGAGGTGAAAGTTCCGGGACACCCTGTCAAACGTTTATCGCTTGAACCATTGGAGCCTTGGAAACAAACCCAGCGCTCTATGACAGACGATCGATCAAAGTCCCAACGAAAACGGTCTAAGAATGCCTCCATAAATAGCACCCCTACTACAACCGCTAATACATCACAACCTCTTCCTTCCCCGCCAGCATTGCGACACAGGCCCCAAAAGCACCGCCGCATGGCCGATGGTACATCAAAAACCAATCCGCATGTTTCATGGGGCGACCAAAGTACCGTACGATGGCCAAAGTTAGAATCAGGTGGTGACTCGCCTACTGAGCCGACAATAGATACATATTTCCCTCTCGAGCGGCAAGGATTAGCACCGCAAGCAAAAGATGACAAAGCGGACGATCCCCCCAGCGTACAAAGTCTGTCCCACTTCTCAAAAGAAATTGTTGAGTCACTGGAGACGATAATGTTTGAGACAGAAAATGATGAACAAACGTGGAAATACGAGATATCCCAGTTAGAATCTATGGGTTATTCCGAGCCGTGGGAGTGGAAGTATGCTACTCATCAGCAGAGAGCAGTATTTCCTTTCATTGCGCAGAGCGTATTTTATGTTTTAGGCAATCCACGACAATTGCTCCTTTCTTTTCGAGATGGCTCCAGCAACACGCCTACGTCCCCCCGATTAGACATTAATTCTCTAGAAGACACGTTTAGGAAATTGCATCGTATATGCCCCTGGGAAACAACACTCCACAGCCTATGGCTCAGCATGGAAAAGCTCTTTAACCCCCCTGTAGAACTTCCTCTCCCTAAAATGCAGCGTCGGCATTCCAAAACAATGAATCCAACAACTCCTACCTCTCCAAGATTCGAGCCGCCAAGGGTTAATGATTACATTTCGGATTCGGACGCTGCTTACATAGCTGTTGTTGCCATGCTCGCCTTATCCAGTACAATTCCTCGCACAGATAACCAGACATGGGAGATCATTCGCCAAGTCAGATCATGTGGAGCTGTGATGCCGGACTCTGTGATGAGAAAACTTTCCAGGTCACAGTCTAAGGCCGTAATTGAAGCTTCTGATAGATTCGAGCATGACTTAGGACTTCGCCTGCTAAAAAGGTTAGCACGCGTTATTTCAACTCGCCTTGCCCTCCATGAGGTATCCAAAGCGAAGGCATCGCATATTACGGACCTGGGAAGCAATGATAAATGTGAACTTATAGAGCAAATTATTTCCACTCTTCAACGGTCTCAGAGGGCCTCATCCAGCGCTAATGGCAATGAGGGATCATGGCCCACCGAAAGGAATCTTACTACATCCATGGTGGTTGTAGAGTGGCTAAGGACGATTTTGCTCAAAGAATGGGACGGCAAACCGGAGTTGTCAAAAGCGAGCGCCGCCGGTGGTGCTTTACAGCTTCTCGGTTTTCTATATAGAGACAGAAGCAAACTTGGATTACTTCCAGAGGATTTTCACACACCATTCTTTTCGGAAAGATTAGACCCCCTTGAAATGCCCACTGAGTGGGTAGACTTACTCTACAACAACCGGACGGTACATTTGCTTTCCTGCTCATTTATATTCCCTCCATCAGCCTTGGTCGTATATTTCCGAGCAATAAATCATGCGACCATGTCCAAATCATTTGAGACTGCTGTGATCACGTCCAAGCACGTAACTGCGATGGCGTTTTCTGGCACTGTCTCCATAGATGATGATATTGCTCTGCTTGCACGAATGAGGACCGCCCTTACCACATTCCTGGTTATAAGCGTACGACGGGAACATGCTTTAGTAGATGCTCTGGATCAGCTATGGAGAAGAGAACGGCGGGAATTGCTACGGCCATTGAAAGTTCGGATGGGAATGGATGATGGTGAAGAGGGGGTGGACCAAGGCGGTGTTCAGCAAGAATTCTTTAGGATAGCGATATCAGAAGCACTGGATCCTGCCTTTGGAATGTTCACTGTCGACAGCCGGAGTGGCATGTACTATTTTCAACCTTGCTCCTTTGAGCCACTCTATAAGTTCGAGCTTCTAGGCCTACTGGTCTCTCTCGCACTCTACAATGGTGTAACACTCCCAGTCGACTTCCCGATCGCATTATATAGGAGGCTTCTTGGCCTCAAAGTGAAAAATACCGACCATATTCGGGTTGGCTGGCCTGACCTTGCTAAGGGACTAGATGATCTCTTAACTTGGGAGGATGGCGATGTGGGGGATGTCTTTATGCGGACGTATGAGTTCAGCTTTAACGCCTTTGGAACTGTCGTCACAGTTGACATGGAAAGAACTGATAGAAACGAGCCCTGGCCGGCACCAGAAAGATACGCTCAGTGGGAAAAGACGAAACAGAAGCTGAAAGACCAGCGGGTTGCTACAAAAAGGTTTACCAGTCACCGTGTTCCCGATGCAAATAGCAACATATCCATGCTGAAGGAGTATTCTTCTGATTCTCGACAACCTCCACGAGATACGCAAGTCATCGGCATTTTGAAGGGGGCCCCATCAAGGCTGCCACGGTATCAAGTAGCCACAGAACCGCAGCCTGAAGCGTCCATTGTAACGAACGATAATCGTAAGCAGTTCGTCAAGGATTATATCTTTTGGCTCACGGACAAATCTGTTCGTCCGCAGTATGAGGCGTTCCAGCGTGGGTTTTTTACCTGCCTAGATCGCACCGCTTTGTCCATATTCAACCCTGAAGCACTTAAAATGGTGCTAGAAGGAATACAAGAGATCGACTTGTCCGAACTGCGAAAGCATGCTCGATATGAAGGTGGCTGGGATGCCAACCATCCACTAGTCAAAGGCTTTTGGCGCATTGTGATGCGGTACTCCCACGAGAAGCGAGGCCGGCTTTTAGAATTCGTTACTGCCAGCGATCGTGTCCCAGTCAACGGAATACCCAGCATCATGTTTGTCATTCAGCGAAATGGTGTGGGAGATAGCGTACGTTAATCTGTCTATCATATTAAACGTCTTAAATATAACTCGTTATGCTAACTTCCCATTTCATAGCGCTTGCCGACTAGCTTAACCTGTTTTGGCAGACTGCTATTACCAGAGTACTCGTCTACAGCTGTACTTGAAGAAAAGCTAGACAAGGCGCTGGAAAACGCCAGGGGTTTCGGGGTTGCTTGATATTGGGAAGGTGGTTTTCTCCCTCATCTCAGCATTTTACCTTCGCCTTTGTTTATAGCACATCTTTGTCGAACGACCCCCATTGTGCGTAATCATTTGATTACTCCTTTTGCATCCTTTTCGCCCATTTATAGATGGTCTGATTGGTTTTTCGACTTGCGAATTGGCCAAAGCGATTGGAAACTGCTGTTTATTTTCTCTGTTTATATTTTTTTCGGGAGCCAGCAAGCGAATTGTTTATGGCATTGCACATATTGGCGTTACTTAGATGTGTATACAAAGTATATTATTTGCACACCAACGAAGACACTGCTGCTATAACACCATCCTCTATGCCTACAGTAACCCCAGAAGGAATTATAGGACTGTGTTTGATTATATTCCCCCCAAGCCTTCTCTTTATTTCTACTTTCCTACCTTCAGCTTTTGTTGTACCTGAGCTCCTCGCTAGGGGAGGAAACTCTGCCGAACTTACTAATAACCCTATTTCAGAAACGGCAACTCTACCGACGGCAAACTTTCCTCGGAGGTACCAGCCGATCGTTACCCGGGCCGAAAGGGCAAGTGTGGCGAACGCGGCGCAAAATCTCCAAAATCTTCTTGAGTCATTGTGATATAAAAGCAGTTTCTGGAGTCAAGCTGGCCTTGTTTGATCTTTCACTTCTTCAGCCAGTTTTGACCTTAACTACTGTGCGTCTACGTCTGTCGTTTCGGTTACAAAGAAAGGCCATATACCGTGCAAGGTCACTACCCCGCCGGATATACGGATATATAACTATACACCAGCTTAAGAATCGCGGGAGAAGATGCCTCCAGTTCTTCACTGCGTCCGACATGCACAGGTTTGTTATATCAAATACGCTGTGTAGTAGATGATTTATACTAACTTGTCTAGGGTTTTCACAACCTCAGCGTTGCCAACCATGTCATGCAAGACCCCTTGCTCACCCCATTCGGTGAAGAGCAGTGCCGTACTCTACGAGCCAACTTCCCATATCATGCCGACATCGACTTGATCGTTGCTTCACCGCTTAGACGAACAATTTACACGGCACTCCTTTCATTTGCGAATATCATCCAAGAACGAGGGTTGAAGATCATTGCGCTGCCAGAAATACAGGAAACTAGTGATGTTCCTTGTGATACGGGAAGCGATCTCGCCGATTTGAAGAGGGAGGTTGAAGAGAAGGGGCTGCCCGTTGACCTGTCGTTAGTTCCGGAGGATTGGAATGATAAAGTACGATTTCCTGGACCCCTCATCCAATTGACCAACCGAAGCTGACTGAGTGGAACTACGATAGACAAAGGAGAAATGGTCTGCCAATGCTAAATCAGTCACCGCGCGTGCTCGTGAAGCAAGAAGATGGTTGAAAGCTCGGCCAGAGAAGCATATTGCCATGGTATCCCATGGAGGCGTTTTACACTACTTCAGCGAAGATTGGCAAGATAGCATTCTCTACCAAGGTATGTACTTTTTGCCCAGCTGCGTCCTATTGCCCCTGCGTTCTTTGCATCTTTCATCTTCCAATGACCATTTGAATTCCTTGCCTTGTTAAAATATGCAATCACAAGTCACCAAAAAGAAACCAAGCCCGAAGAACTATACTAATGTTCGTCCTTCGCCCACTTACCCAGGCACCGGCTGGGCTAATACTGAATTCCGAACGTTCGAGTTTACTGATTCTACCGACACCGATGACCTATACGGTAATAAAATCGATGGTGATAACGCAAGTATCAGAGAGACAGTCGATTCAAGGAAGAGAAGAGGCAAGGCAGCAGCTGAGCCTCCAAGCAGAGAAATGCAGAAACAGTTCTTTGTTCAGGCTATTACTGGGTGGGAGAACCAGGCTGCGCAAGCCTTGGCTGCAAATAACGGTGTGGAGGAGAAGGAGGAAGCTATAGATGTTTTGCAAAAGCAGCCTGTCTCAGTTGCTGCTGAATAGATTAAGGACTTATACAGGGTTAAATGTGGCATAGAGGGGGGTTAAAGGGGATAGGCACCGGGATTTACTAGATAGACGGTATTAGATCAGAGTATCCTTAAGCTTGTTGCTGCTTGAAAGTTTTCAGATAGAGAATATGGATATTTACATATGGCTGCCATAGTTGCCATATGAACTAGATATACAAACTTTCTATTTCTTATCTAAAATCGATCTTTAATAATTTTCCTATTATAACTATATTAACTCTCTATAAAAGAGGTTAAGTAATATATCTAAATTGTTTATCTATGATAGATAGTAGGACAAGGCCCCTAATATTGAAATTCAGCTATGGATAGCTAATATAGACTAGTTTAGGTAGTGAACTCCTCATAGTCTTTGACTGCATAGGAGTATAATGAAGAATAATAATAATAATAGATATACAAACTCAATTTGCAACGGGCACAGCACGGTGTTGTGAATTAAACGCAAAACTAATGTAACTCAAGCCCTAAAAGTAGGTGCTTGTGGATATGTGAACATGATCGATACAAAAACTGGTATACAAACCAATAACATGCCTCATGGACGATTAGAATCATCCCGTAGAAAACGAACGAATTCAAATTCGGATGGCAAAAAGAAATCAGAGGGCAAGAAAATAAAAAGGCAAAGGGTCCATAAAGGTAAATAAAAACGCCTTTTATCAATCATCTAATAGGGGATGAGATTCGTCATTTTGGTTGTTGTGTTTTGACCCAGTGGGTTTTCGTTTGCGTCTTCGCTTCTTCTTCGCAGAAGAGCCATTAGATTGATGGGTCGATTGCTCGCTGTTGGTATGATCTATTTCGGCGAAATCCTTCATGTCACTCACTTGTGAGGAGGACGAGAGACAAGCGCTGTGGGTACTGTCGCATTCGGAAAGATTGCGGTCACTTGTTTGTAGGACAACCTTGCGAATGCCGTGGATATCGACAACTTGTTCGGTTATGCTGCCACTTCTTGTGGGGCCTCGCGGATAATATGCTGGTGAAGCAGATGGTGTATCAGAATTGATGCTTGATGAACGAGTTCCATTTTTGGATAATGGAGAGGGACCATGCTTTTTAGCAGGAGATTCGTGGGTAGTGATAGTGGTTTGTGACGGTGGCGTGTGCTGATTAGCAACAGTGCCTTGCCCAATATTTGGTTCGGTAACAGAGTGTGTTAGATGAGATGGACGTTGAGATTGGTCCGTGGTAGTACCATATGGTGAAGAAGATGATGTTTTTGGGTTGACTGCGCGTTCGCTGGCGGTTTTCACCAGTAGGTTGTCAGATTCTGAAGGTTGCGCGTCTGAGGGAGGAGGATAGTCAGAATAGGAGTCACGCCCGCTGAGGGCCTGGGAAGACCTTGATGGCGAGATCCCGGCGCGTTTTATTTTAACAGCGTTGTATCGGGTTTGACGAGGACGGCTTGCAAGGTTTGATGGGCCAAGATGCTTCAATTGTTCCTTGATCTCCGCCGTGGCGCCTCGATGAATAATGGGTTGGCTACTGCCATCTGGTTTGTCGACAACTGGGGTTTGTCGCAGGTAAAATGTGGGTGGAGGAGGAGATCCGATAGGAAGTATGTTTTTGGGTGGAGGATGTTCGTTATGCTGTTCTGCATCTGAGTTACGCGTAGTAGGGAGTGTGTCAACTCCGATGTCGTGAGCGGAGGGTGGTACTTCGACAAAATGCCCCTTTGGAAAGTTGAACTTGGGTGCTGGCGCCATTCGACGAATTGCTTTGTGGACATCAATAAAGACATCGGATTCGTCAATGATTTCTTCGCCAATGAGCTCTTCAATTACATCTTCGAGTGTGACAACGCCTAGAGAGCCGTGATCTTCGCCGGGGTAATCTGAGACCAAGACCATGTGAGCTTTTCCTTCTTGGAAAAAGTTGACAATATCAAGACAGCTTGTTTCTGCCCGTGTTTCTGGGAGGGTGGCAAGGGCGAAATCCCGGACTCTTTTACAGTCCTCAGGGTCGTAGGTGATCAGCATCTTGACAAGGAGCATGCCAACGAAGTTTTGAGGGTTATCGGGTGCATGGATTGGGATGCGGGAGTAGCCTTGAGAGAGGATCAAGTCCATCATCTTTTCGTCGAGAACGGTGTCTGCAGACATGATGAAGACATCTTGCATTGGGATCATGATGCTGCCAACGGGCTTTTCTTTGAGGTCGAGAACGGCGCTGATGATGGTAACCTCATCAGAGTTCAGCTGGTCGCCAGCCGTGCCGAGATTCTTGTGTAGCGTAACGAGAGTTTTCAAGCCGGCCTTTTTATAAAATGTTCCATGATCTTCGCCGAGGAGCCTGTCCAGGAGTTTGGCAATCGGGTATGAGAGAGGGGAGGTGATGTACATCAGACAAAGGACGGCGGGTGCCATCCATGCTCCAATCGGTAATCCATAGCGGACACATATCGATTGGGGAACGACTTCTCCGAAGATGACTAGCAAGCAACCTGGTCAGTATCGTGTGAACACAGTAGTACAGAGGTAATGTCTCATACCAATCAATGCTGTACTCCCAATGACAGCGGGCCAACCACCGCCGAGAGAACGATCCAGAACGATGGGAAGGGTCTCATTGACGACAACGTTGCTCAGCAGGAGTGTGACAAGGACCCAATGCTTTCCTTTTTTCAATAGGTCCAAGACCTTTTCTGCTTGTTTTCTCTCCGCTCCTTCGCCGGATGTTTTGATCACTTGGAGATAAATTTCATCCTGTTGATTGAAAGTAAACAAATCAGTGTCTGCACTTGTATATATCCTTTTTTTTTTTCATATCAGAGTAACTCACCTGGCCCATAAGAGCGATGGTCAGCCCGGCAAAGGCACCGCCGCTGAGGACGAGTGCCGCGGCAATGCCGAGATAAAGCCATAGACTGAGCTCATCTGGAGATTTGGGGGCGTGATCTAGCTTCTCGATGACAGACGATGCCAGTGGCGCGGCATAGAGAAGAGGGAAGCGAGTCAGTGAGAAGAGGATGAGCTTGGTCCAGGCAAGACCAGCAGGTAATCCAGCACCGTGGCGAGTCAGAGTCATTTAAAAGTGGTCAAGCCAGTCGATAATAGAGAGGGCGGTCTTGTTGTAGCTATCACGACCACTCAATCGGACAAGCACAGTCGGTGTTGGTCTCGGGTTCGTAATCCCGTAAATCAGCAGCTAATCGAAATGAATAGCTTGCAGTTAAGTTCGAATAGTTATCACTGTGACCGTCAAGGACGTTTCTCAACAAGACATCAAAATATTCAGGTAAAACGGGGCGGATGTCTCCAAAAGAATCTGATGAATTGGTGGTAAAGAGAAAAGAGTTGATGCTTGCGAGAAGGTCGCCGTGCGGCCCAGGATTAAATAAATATCTTTGACCAGTGAAGAGAGTGACAAACGGGACAGAGACTTTGAGTGGCTGGACTTTTCTTCTTCTGCTTCTTTTTTTCGATGTACGAAAAAAAGTCGAAGAAGGTTTGAGTCGCGCTTAGTCAGGCGCAGACGCTGAGTCAGCATGAGAGTTTATGAGAACGTCAAGTCGGCTTTTTGGTGGTGAAAGTCGAAGGATGAAGCTGATATGTTGAATATCAAGCCGGATATAGATGGTATAGACGTGTTCTCAAGAGGCCAGGATCTCTCACATCCTGGCCGTTGTCCCCTCTGTCGTCAGGTCCCGTTGTCTCTTCTTCTGCTGGTCCCCGTCGAAGTTCCCAGTGGTACTTACAGGCGGCAAACCCGTGGAAAAAGGTAGCGAAAGAGCATCAGATCTCTGTGGCTGCAAGCCATTGGCATGGGTATCATGGAGATCTGTTTAATGAATCCTGTGTGTGCTCTTTGTGCGATATCTTTCTTTTTCCAGTCTTGCTAGGCGAGCAGCACCCTCATCTTGGTCGTTCATCGCTGGTGTCCAGTTGGCGGCGGTGTATCTAAGGGCGAGACCAAGATGCTGTCTATATGTTTGGTCGTAGGGGCTGCTCAAGCCTGGCGAGGTCTTGTCTCCAGCATGGATATCTTGGTTGGAGTCGAGGTTGCAGACTCAGTTGCGGCAGCTTGCATCTGCATGCGCAGCTGTATTGGTTTTCCTGAATCGATCCCTCGTCTGGAGACAAATGTTGACCTCAATGGGTTGCCAGTGCAGTTGTTGCTGAAGGCTATGTTTGATGTCACTGCCTTATATACCACGGAGGGTATCAAGCACCGTCTTCTTGACTGTCGTGCATGTCATGGTATATATCTTTGATGCAACCTCCTGCACTTTCTGTAAGTGCCATATTCCCGAAAGGAGAGAGATCAATGGAGAGGAAGAGTTTGATTCGGTTCGCCTGATTGTCGAAGTCACCTTACTTTTGCTCTCCAGGGCAGCGTTTGGGAAGGTCCAAATCTCGTCACCCACGGTCAAGAGGAGACCCGGGCGAGGGAGAGAATGGATCCTGCTGTTCCTGGAGATTCTGTTGTCATGTCGGTGTTTGTGGTTACCGTCGACACTGGGGAGCAGTAAGGCGCGAATGGCGTCCGTTTATCGTTCTCTTTGGTCCTCTCCATTGGACCGTTGGCGGAGAGGAGCGTCGCGGCTGGCTCGAGAAGGTCGAGAAGGTCGGGAAGATCGAGTAGCCCGAGAGGACTCGGGCTGGTCTCGGGACGGTTGTCCTTCTCTGGATGATTGTCCTTCTCGAGATGGCTGTTGCTGTCCTTCTCGAGGCCTGAGCCGGCGACGGAGTTTCTCAATTGTGTTGGCCTGCTTGAGAAACTCTGCTCTTTGGAGATCGAACTCTTTGGCGCGCTGTTCGAGTCTCTTCCGGAGCGACTCCTTTTCGTCTGCCAGGTCTTTGATCTCCTGGTCCTTTTCTGCAATGAGAGCGTCATACATGGACTCTACCACCATGAGTTCACAGTCCATGTCTCTGTCCTTGCTGGCATGGTCCGGTTTCTGGCTACCCGAACCTTGGCTGTTCAGTTTCCCTTGCAGCTCGGCAATGGTGGCGTCCTTCTCTCGCGCCTGCGACCAGAGATTTTCAACAACGGCGGTCTGATCCGAGAGCCGCCGCTTGAGGTCAGCCACGAATGCATCGTGCTGTTTCTCGAAGTCGGCGACTTCGGCGTCCCGTTCGTTGTTTTCCATCTCCATCGCGGCAAGCGATCGAAGTTGGGCCTCATTGCGAGCTGTAAGTTGGCTGACAGCTTCCAGCTGGGCCGCTAGGGCCATGCCAGCTTCTTCGATGGCGCTCTCCTGGGCGGACAATTGTTCGTGGCACTTCGCGTTGCCGGCGATGAGGGTGCGTCTATGACGGCGTGCTCTCTTGAGTTGGCGCTTGAGCAGGGCCGTGTGGTGGTTGTCGGGACGCACCTCATCGTATTTGGCTGGCCGGGTCGCGACCGTCTTGACAGGTGCCTCCACAGGTGTGTCGACGGGTGCCTTGACGGGTGCCGGAACTTGTGCCGCCTTTTGCAGCTCCAGGGATTGGGCGCTGACCTTCGCCTGCAGGGCTTCGTTGGTGGATAAGAGAGCTCTGAGTTGCTCCTGCAGGCTCGTCACACTGGCGTCTTGGTTATTGGTGAGCTCCCTTTCGGTGGCCAGTAGTGACTTCAGGTCAGCGCATTCCTCTTGCGATGTTAGCAGGGACTGTTGCTTGGTCATGAGTTCCAGAGCCAAGTGGTGAACCTCAGCCCCGGAGGCGAGTGACAGTCGAAATTGAGTGGCTGCTGGTTCGCTCGAGGTCCCTGATTCGGAAGCCATCTGGTTCATCACGGCGAGATTCTTGTCGGCGTCGGGGTGGCGTCCTTCTTG